TTCGACATTGGGCACTGTAGCGTGCCATGTGGTGCCAATTTTTTTTGGTAGCATCCATCCTTGTTTCTCGCAGCATCAGCTCAAGCCCACATGGCTGAGCTGGGCCACCGTTGCCTGAGATGACATGTTTGCATTTCGTGACGTGGAAGCAACAAGAGGTACCGACAGGGCGGTATGAAGTAGTTAAAGTAGTACGCGTGGTTGTGCTGTGTTGGCCATGGCTCACGAAAATTCCAACTGATTACGGCTGAGGCTGTGCTGTCTCTGCTCTTCAGCCTGAGTGCTTGCAAGCAGTTCGGCGTGGCTGCCGACGGAAGTTTTCTGGATGAAGGCTCCAGCCCAGCAGAATTGCATCGAGCTGTGTCTCTGCTTGGCATCATCTTCGCCAGGTTTGGCTGAAAGTGGGGATAGTACGCATCTTTGCTGCAACTCAGCCGCCGGCGACAGTGCAACTCTAATGGACCCAGGTCGACCGATCACATTGTGGAGGTGCGGAGGGATCGTGTCACTTCGTTGAGCTTGCTCGCTTTTAAGCCTTTGCTCTAGGCAGCACTCGCCTTCGCACTGAACCAGGCTCTGCACCGAAGCCGAGTCACGAAAGTCCCCGGATGGTGATTGAAGTCTGCAGCTGTGCGGCTGCGTCTGTGCAGGATGGCCAATCTGCGAGCTTGAAGTGCTTAGGACCGTCGCAGCGGACGTGTGATCTTTTTGCTTTTGCAGTCTAGACCCATGATGCCGAGGATTTTGTTCTTGAGTCGCCACGGCAGGAACCATGATGAACTGCACATCTGAAGATCCTTGCAGTCAAGGTGGGCACGGCGCGATCTGGGCCAAGCCAGCCAAGCAAATCCCTGCAGTGCTGCGCAGATCTGCAGACTCTGTGACATAGCCACGAGGATCTTGCGTGAACGTGTACCACAACTGCAAATCCGGGCTGGGACCGGGCGTCTTCTCGCAATGCGGAGATTCCGAAGGCTCTGGCACATGCCAAGCTGAGGCCAATTGTCACCTGCTCGCATCTTTCGCGAATCGTGTAGCTGAACATGTGTAGTCGCAGCGTGGAAGTACTTCGTAGGTGGAGTCAATTTCATTCTTGTGATCCAGGTTATCTGGAATGCAGAGGAGCGCATATTCTTGGTGCCACCTGCGATCAAAGAGTTGTCAAGACTGGCCCTGACTGCAACAATGGTGCCTCAGCTTCCATACAGAAGCGATGCGATGCCTCAATTCACTTTATGAAGATCTTGAATCTTGAACTCAGGATATGTTAAGTCTGGCGGCCTGGGAATGGTGCCTCGAAAGCATCGCAAGACCCAGTCGTAGTCCAAAGCACCTTCAGGATTCCACTTCATTGCACACATGCGGCACGCTTTGCAGGCGTGTACGGTTGATCCAGCTGCTTGGCAGGGCAGTGTTCTGACGATAGTTACCTAAGAGATACCTGCAGCCGTGCTCGCCTGCCGCTCTGCTCGCTGCTGGACTGACTGGACTGAAGGAAAATTCTACGAGATGCATCGACAAGCATCCTTGTGCCTTACCGGCAGGGATATGAGGCCATCGGCCTTCTCACAATTGCAGGTCTGCGACTTGAGTCAAGATGTTCTTCATTATTCCGCTCGCTCAACGCCAGGTGCCGATTCAACGTCGTTGTTGACTTTGCCGATGCTTTCGCTGCCCTGTGCTTGTCTCAGAAGCAACACTTCGAGTTCAGCCAGCATCATGTGTGCGTATCCAAGGTCAAGGATCAATCACGGCGACATGGTTTTCCAAAGTGACTGACGCCACAGCGTGCAGCCCGAGTTGCACCTATTCGGACATGTCCATTACAGTTCCAGAAGATCGTGTGCATGATAGATGCACGGAGCAAATCGTTGCCTCGACAAAATCTCCATGCCGATGTCCTGTGCGAGCTCATTGATTGCTTCCGAAGTACACCTAACTTCCTCACGCGAGGATGATGCCGACTTGGTTATCTGGGCAGGCATGGTTCTTCGGAAGACGCCGAGGCACATCAGCTTTCTCACTCATGCGAAGCGTCTCATATCCCTGCATTCTGCAGTGCGGTTTGCCCTGCCTTAGTTGCTGCAAAGTGCTGCTGGTGCTAACACTTTCTGGGGAGACTGGTACCAGACTCTTCCCAGGTGCATTCTGGAGCGATGTGGCGCAGGCATTGCTCCAAGGGCAGGAGGCGTCTTCGTCCAAAGCATCCTGAACGGCTCACCGGCTGAGTCAAGGGAGTTTGCCCCGTGGGACACTCAGGAGATTCGGAGATCCTAGATCAAAGTGTGCAAGAGAAGCTATTACTTCGAGATGCAAGGTATTGCTTCCTTATGGAGATGGACGGCCAGCCCATACGACAGCTGAGCCGCCCCGCAGCACACCGTATCCGGTAGTGTGCGCGACTGCGAACTCAGAAGGTGATGTGCTTCTTCATGGCCAGCTCGACAGGCCAGGCTGCCAGGCTGCAGGCTCCCCTGGGAGGCTGTGCGCTTTCTAGAATCGCGTCAGAGAAGGAATGGACCTGCACATGGCTGGGTGCGGCTGCTTCTCCTTGATATGAACGGACAGGAGACGAAGCGCAAGTTTGCTGAAGCAAGCTCGGTCTCCCCGATGGTCGTTGCTAGGAGCAAGTCAGAGCTGTCCAGCGCGATCCGCTCTTCTTTCCGACGATGACGCTGCACCGGAGCCGGCTCCTCAGTTCTCGAGACCTCATGACACGAAACCCAGTGCCAGCGCTCGTGTTTCTATGCAAGGCCCTCAGTGCTGGCGTTGCACTCAGAAGGGCTAACTGTCTAACCAGCATGTGCCAAGTCACAGCATCTGCAACAACCAGTCAGAGCTGCACCCGGAATTCCTCTGTGTGGCAATCTGGGGACGCGAGACTGCTCAACAACGGAGCTGTACTCGCCTGCGCTTCGGTCATCTTTGCCGCATGCCGCACGTCCGCTACACATAAGCGGGTCGCTGGAGGCAGAACTGTGTGCATCTAATCGGATAGACTCTCCGAGTTCAAAGGGCGGTTGAGTCCTGCCGTGGAAATAGTGCTAGCAGCCGCAAATCGAGCAAAACGTGGCCTGATAGACAGGAGCTTGGAATCAGCTTCCAGGTTTGCGATGTTGAACAGTTTGCTTCGAGCTTGTCTCTTTCTGAGCGGATGCGGCCCTGATGGTTCTGAGCATTACATAATGTCATAATGTGACATACTGCAATTCGGAAGCATGCGGTTCCATCTATGCATTCCGACAAACCATTGACAAGACATTAGCAGCAAAGTTCCAGTAGCAAATGCCCGATTAATCAGAGACAGACAGATCCTCTGTGAACGGATGTATAGCATAGCAACCAAGTGGGATGCGCCTAGTCGATTTCAAGTGATAGCCTGTGCCATCATGGTTGTCGACAGCAGCTCCCCCAGCTTCGTTTGTCGCGGATGCTCGCATGGCTCCAGCTAGTCACCCAAGTTTGCTTGGCCTTGCACTGGTGAAGCTAGGTCCAGGCGCCTTGATTCAAGGATTTCGCCTCGGGTCTGTCGTGGAGGCGAGTGTCGCGTGCATGCGTGCAAGGTTACCGATGCAGTGTTGACGCAGTCCAGACGTCCTCAGGTTGATGGTGCATCTTTCAACGACAGGCTTGGACGGCCAGTGCACTTGCAGTGTCCGCTGATCGCTTGCAAGGTTGGGCCAAGTAGTGGCTTTCTCCGAGAAGGAGACCGATTGAATTTCGGGTTGCAACAGGGCTTTCGACCTGGAGTTTTCCGAACTTCGAGGATGGGGTCTTCAACGTGGCCCTGCTCAATGGCTCCATTCGCCAGGTCCAAATGCCAGTTAAGGTAGAATCTATGCCATGTGTCTCTGTGCCGAAGCCTGCGAGTAGGCCACGTTTATCCATCACTTCATGCGTTGCAAGACGTGGTCAACTGGTGTAAAGGCACGGCCGGATCAGATGAGGCAAAGCGAAGGTCCAGCTCGTATGTGTGACAGAAGCGAGTGGCCGCCTAAGCACAGAAAAACCAAGGCAGAAGACCTGGACACGGCACTGCAGGCTTCGATGTGCTGCTGGGCCCGAGGCGAGGGCAAGCTGCTTGCAGTTCCGCAACACTGCTCTTCCTGGTCTTAGTCTTAAGCAGTCTCCGTTGGATCCTCCTGCGTCTTTACATCAGGCATCGGCAGGACTTCTTGGCAGAAGAGGCAAAGTGGAGCCGAGTCTTACCGCTGATGGCGCATTTTTCGTTGTAGTCTAGGACGTCTATATAGTAGTGCCTACGACGGAGGCCAATGACTCTCTTACTTCATGCTTCCACATCGAGTGTCGCAGGTTGCGACGTGCCTGGTAGAGAAGGGTTTTTGCGCGCGCGTCCCAGTCGAACCATTGGCCCCGCATCGGCATCTCTTTCGGAGAGGCCATTTTCTCCTTGTCGGCTCTGAGGTCTTAAAGATGTGCCAACCGCAGCAGGAACCGGAGATCTGGAGCCAAGCGGTCGCTTCGTTCGGCCCCATGCTTCACGCAGGAAGTGGAGCAGGCGTTTGACTACGTGAAGAGCTTGGCCCAGTCAGCCACCGAGTCTACAGAGTCTAATGTCTAATCAAAAAACTGGCGGGGTCTGCAGGTCTGGGAAGCTCGAGCGCCTTCCGGAAGAGGTTGAGGAAGGCTACCTCGGCGAAGGTGCCAGGTGCCAGGGGTCAGGGCAGGACTTGATCTCCAAAGCTGTCACTCTTTGTCTTTTGATCTCTTTCTTTCTCTTTCTCTTTCCGCAGGGCGCGGGTGGCTTGGATGGACCCAAGCGATCGGAACTCCTTGCAGGATGCGCTGTTTCCCCTTGTGCTCTGGATGAAAGCTCTGTCTGTTAGCCTCCGTGCCCGTAGCCTTGTGGCTTCAGCGGAGGGTACAAAACACCAGTCGACGACGAATGAGTTCGCAGCTTTGTGCAGGTTTAGATGCTTTAGCAGCTTTGGCAGTTCGAGCGGTGCAGAGAATGAGCATGCTGGAGCGAGCAAGCTGATATGGAGCTGGCTTCAGTGCAAACGCTCCTGCATGTAGCTTGGCGAAACGATATTCTCCAGACTGGAGCCTGCGCACCAACTACTAATTCAGTACCAGGCTGCGCGTTGTATAATCGTTCCATGTCTTTCTTGTCCCTGGTTTCGGTCGTTGTCCGTCTTGCTGTCAGAGTAGGCATATGTAGGCTGGTATTCAGTGAGCTCGGAATGCATTGACTCGAGTGTTCAGTCAGGCATGCGACGGAGACGATGAGGCGGACAACATGGGACTCATGGCTCATGATGTGAGCCAGTGCCATCTGCTTGTGCCAGACGGGTTCGATCTGTAACGTCTGTGTTGGACAACTGAGCAGGACGGCTTCATACAGGAAATCTGTGCGGCGCTCTCCGGCGGGTTCCAAAGTGTAATTTGTCAGAGAATTGATGAATGCCCCGTCTGTAAAAATGTCTGCAAGGAGTCTGCGTCCGTACAAACACTAGGATGCAAGCTCGGGACTGTGCCGTGCTCTGGTACCTGCTGAGCAGCACGTATAGGTCAGGGCTTGATTTGGGATGCTGTGTTTTCTTGTGCCCCATCTTGGATCTTGGTGCGGTATGGTGTGGTTTACAATCTCCCGGACTGCATCCTTTCCGAGCTTGTGCACGCTGTCAGGCACGCGCCATTTTGGAAAGTGCAAAGGCCTGCGACTCAGCTTTTCCGAGAAGCTTTCGGTGCACATCGGATTCTACAGGTCTTTCTCTGAGAGTTTGGCGTTTTCTGAGGCCAAATCTGCAGGTGCGTTTGGTGAGAGCTCCTGGCACTGTCTCTGCGGTCTCCGGTAACCTTTCTCCAACGTCGGTCTCAGCAGCCAGGTTTGCTTTGCGGTGTCTGGTGAAGCTGATCTCGAATCCAGTTGCTCTGCGCTGAGACCTGAGAGCTGTCTCTTGAGAGCATTGTCTCGTGGCTTCTGTCGGGGTTGCCTGACGGCTTGGTCGCAGTCCCTAGCGCTGCTCCACGTGGCTCCATCAGCTTCTGCATCGTAGCGTCCTACCCGCAAGCAGGGGCAAGTTCGTATCGGTATCGCGAGAATTTATTCCTCCTCCAGGCTGAAAAAGCATCAACTCATCAAGTCCTGCTCATCACAGCGTTTGACGGCGTTTTCCTTTTGCTTCACGTGCATGTTCGGCGGCCCCTCCCGCGGGCTAGGCCTGTAGCAGGCCTTCCGACCTTGCCATTCCGGCTTTCGCTGTGCCCATCCATCCGAGTCGCGCTGATGTGAGTGCTTTGAGGGGCTATGGGCCAGTGCCACAGCACCGATGTGGGGGCGGACACGCTTCTGGAGGTGAAGAGTCAGAGAAGGGTAGACGACGCTTTATCCTTGCTTTGATCCGTTGCAGGAGGAGGCCCAGGCCGCTGGCAGCTTGGTCTGCCGATCCCAGGCCAGGGCTCGCGGAGCAGAGGCGAGCCGTGCGAGTTCGCCCCTTTTGAGAGGCGAGAACCTTCCCACCTGTTCCGGGAAAAGCAACAGCCGCCGCCTGAGCAAAGTCGGCAAGGCTCAGCCCGCAGGCAGGCCTGTGCAGAGAGAAGTTTTTCAACACTGAGGTGCTGGATTACGCATCTTCTGCATCTACGGCTGAAGAGTGCGCTTTCTTCCTGGAACAGGCGCTGCTTGAAATCTTTGGGAATGCCACTGGGAGGTTCCGTGTACTTTGGGCCTTCATTCCGTCGCTCGTTTGTGCGTCATGAGCTCCATTGGCGGCACAACTCATGACCTGTTCCCCGAATGTCAGGCTTGGGGACTTTGTTGCCGAACCCGGGCGAACAGAGAAAGATGTCAGCACGCAACAGCGGCTAATGCCCACGCACTCCGCTGCTGCAATGAGCGCACCTGGCCGCTCAGCAACCACACCGCGGCCAAACGATGATGCGCAAGTCCAACTTTGAAGACACACCAGGCGTCTCAGCTAGAAATCGCTCTTGGAGATTTTCGTCCAAAGGATTCCAAAGCGACACGTCCGGGAACGCTTTCGACTTCTCAACGGTGCAACATCGTGCAAATGCTGTACAAGGATAGGGTCGAGTCGACAAGAACCATCATCTTACATTGCAGGTTGTAAGCGTTCCTGGTATTGACGATGCAATGCGCGCCTGTGCTCTAGCCTCGGAGCATCTTTGAACCTTTCGGTCGGTCTGGATGCTTGTCATTTCAATTTTCCTACTCCGAGGCTTCCAGCCGTCTGCCATACGTTCGAGTGTGGGCGGAGAGCGCTGGCAAGACCCTGGGAGAGGCGCTGCCACTTCGTTGAAGCTCACGGAGGTGTGCACGTCGTGCACGTCTCAGGTTGCTGAGTGGCCTTCCCGGCCGAGCAGCCACCCATCCTGGCGGATCGCCCAAGCTGACACCGTGGTGAGAGCAACGGCTCCCTGCAGAGGGGGGAGCTCGAGCCAAGGTTCTCTGCCCGAAAGCTGGGCTTGCGAATGGTCGCCATCTCAAGCCTCAGGATCACGTGCAGCGCGCGAATAGGACGACATCGGCGTCGCCTTGCAAGGCCGCCGCGGTTTCGGCAACCTTGCGGATAGAGCTGCTCGATGTCATTCAGACCTCATCCAAGGGTGTTGCAATGTGTTGCAGCTCTGTGTCGTCGTTCAGTTTTTCTTGTGGTGACTGCGACGACACCAAGGGTTTGCGACGGGAGCACTGTCCTGGGTTCTGCCCAGACGAACATGAAGGCATCGCAAGTGTCTGGAGTTCCGGGAAACATTTCTCTTGACCTGTGTCTCAAGGACTTGAGAGTGCACCAAAGAATAGAACTTGCCGCTGATGTGCGGCCAGGACGTGCAGGGTCGCAAGCTCTCGAAGAAGCCGAACCCAAGTCATGAGCCAAGCAGGAGTGCAGAAGTCCTCCGTGGTCTTTCAGATTCTCGACTGCCAAGCCGTGCCCCAAGACTTCGAATGTACACAAGGCACTGCTACACAAGTTGTCCTGCTTGAGCAAAATGAGGGGGTAACTTTCTTGAGACCGTCATGTTGCCTGGACGATCTGTGATTCCTTGCTGAGGCAGTTTTGAGACCCAAGTCAGTGCCCACACCTCGGAGGAGCTTTGTTCCGGCAAAGGGAGACAGCTCAGGGAGGGCAGTGAGAGTGCTGCCTTCAGGTATTTGATTCGCCATGGTGAGAGCGAATGGAACAAGGCTGCTGTAAGACTGTAAGGGCTGCTCGAAACTTGGATGATCTGAACGCTCGAAATGGCAGGCACAGGGGAGCCTGAACTTGCACGGGATGGTGCGCACCACAGACCATCCACTATCCGCCAAGGGCCGCGATCAGGCCTCCCTGCCTGCCTTTTCGGAGGGATCTGCATTATGCTTCTCAGCATGTTCTGAGCTCAGGAGATGATGTCTACAAGGAAAGGGAGCCAGTTCTTAAGGGTCCGCGTCGTGAGTGTGGGACCTTCGAAAAAATCGCAAACATTGGAATTCAGTCCTCAGCAAGCCTGAGAACTTCTAAATCATGCCGTATACTGTGTAGACTTGTTGCTTTGTCGTAAGGCTTGACTGACTGCAGGATACACTGCCCGGTCTTGATGAATCGTTTTTCAGTTTTTCACCACTTAGCAGCGCACAACATGACATGCCACATGGTGAAGCGAGGAAAACGTCTTTTGGGGGATGATGAGTCGATTTCATGTTTCAGCATCATGGCTACAGGCAGCGATGGTTTCGGAATTGCAGACGGGCAACACAAATGGCAACATTTGGGCAGCATCTTTTCCCCAGGCACTCCGCCTGAAAAGCGTGATGGCACATTCCGCATAGAGTTTCGATTCTGATTTGTGTGTTTATTGGCGGAATTTGTTGAACAGTTTAATTCCAGCACATTCGTTTTGGATTTTCAGAAGTTACCCATTGTCCTGTACGTGTTCGATGCTTCATTTTCTTTCAGATCTTATATCTTTCTGAATTGTTTTATGGGTGCATTTTTTGTTTTTGTTTTAGTGTGTTCTTTATGATGCTTACCATTTTCTTTAATCTTCTTTCGCCTAACATTTTATGGTTTCCTTTTCGTTTGCATTTTCGCTGCTATTTTCGGTTTGGATTTTCATTTTTCTGATTGTGTCCAGTCATGTCCAGTCTTTCTGTTCTGCGTTGCTCTCAAGTTTCGCGTTGTCGTGAAGGAACATGTTTCTGTTTCTCTTGATGTGTTTTCGGTTTGAAACTCTCTTATTGGATCCTCTAACCTCGCGATTGCTCACTGTTGCGTGGTTTGTTCTGTGGTGAGGGCTGAATTTGGGCATGAAGAGATCCCGAATCAGCTTCCACAAGCGTTACAGCAAGGCATGCTCAATGACTTGCGGCTATGTTGTGGCCCACTTCTCATTCTCTTTCCTTGCAGCATTGAGGCAGGAGCCAATCCGGACACAAGTTTCCGCACCACTCGGCAAGAGTGCAACTGCTTCTAAAGCCCGCATCTCGCAACCCCTAAGTCGTTCCACGTTGAGGTCTTCCGAGGTTTGTTTTCTGTGTTTGATGTTTTTTGCCAGTTTCAACAAAGCAGGCCTCCAGCTGAGTTTTTTGGGAATTGGATTCGCTGCAGTAGTATGCGACATTTCGAATCATTCCCAAAGTTCCCTAACGTTTGAGCACATGGAACCTTGTCTAATCTTTCAGAAGGTTGTGAGACCCCATGCCGCTCCTTCCCGGAACCATGCCGGTTCGGAAACCGTGCTTGTGAGGTCAGCAGTCACCGCTCGAGCCATCATGGCCGACAAATCCTCATTCACCGCTTCAGAATCTTAAAAGTACAGCTTTGTGCCTCAAGTCCTGAGTGTCTTAAAAGGGAACTTTGGCCAAACCTGCTCCGCTCCCTTGAGGCATAAAGTAGAAACGTATAGACACGTTTTTCAATTTCTTCTTTGAGACCTCCTCCGTCTGAAAGTGTAGATGCTATCGGTTCGCACTCGCCATCTCCGGTCACCACCTGTCCAGACACCGCACTTGCCAGGCAGAGGCACTGAGACATCTCTTGCAGATGGAGCTTGACAAGGACGAACCGAATAGAAGGGACCGCAGGGACACAGTCTCTGTATGCCAGGCTGGTTCAGACAAGGCCGACCCAAGCGTAGCTCCGATGCTGCAGCCAGGGTTGATTTTGGCAGGGTCCTCAGTCCTCAGTGCATCTTTTGCCCGTGTTTCTTTGCTTGTGGATGTTGACAAGGCCTCACCCCTTGGCCGAGCTTTGCAAACCGCCATTATCGCCTACGGCCCCCTTCTCGAAAAGGCGGCTCCAACCGCAAGAGAGAGCATGGCTGCGCCATCTCTGCTGGCAGGCGGAACCTCCGGCCCGAAATGAGCTCCGCCCCCAGCGAGCGGGGAAGAGCCTTAGGAGCCTTAGGGAGCCCTGGAGCTGGCTGCCAGGCTAGTGCTGGCTCCAAACTGCAAGGAGAGCTGGGCCCCGCTCTCTGTGCTTTGTGGTGCGTGCGCTTCGTGCGCTTCGTGCCGGAGGAAAAGCAGAACTTCGGTGGCCTGGATACGGTCTGCACGAAGTTGGGTGAGGCGCCACCAAGCACATATCCTCCCGCTCCTGCTTTGCTCCCACCTCACGACATGTAGGAGATTCTGCAGTCAAGCCAAGAGGAGCCCTGGTCTTAGAGGCATCAGGAAGGGTCTTGAGTTCCCTTGAAACGGAAACGACTTGCAGCCCCGAGGGCAAGGCCAGAACAGGTGGAGAACTCTTGTTTTGGCCCGCTGCCAAAGCCAAGGCTGCGAGTGCTCTACTCAAGGCTTGAGAAGGCGCCGTGGTCAGCTTTGACATGCTTTCCTCGACCAACGGCCCTGTCTGTAGGACAAGTTCATCGTAGACGCCTTCCGACAGCTACGCTTCGATGTGGAGGAGGCGGGTTGGTTTGCCACCTGAAAGTTACTGACCAGGTCTTGCTCCGGTCACGATGCCGTAGGCTTGTAAGCCACGTGACAGGTGCAGGAAAGATGGTGGCCAGAAGGTCAAGCTGAGTCCACGGGGCAGTTGAAGGCTCCACTGCGCTGAAAGTGTAGATCGTAGAGGAGGAACGAGAATCGGTAGGACATTCGATCAGGCCCGCATGCGGGAGTTTATGTACCAGCTTCTCTTCTCGTTGGGTGCTTGGCTCACAGCTTTCGAGCTTAAGAGATCGGAACAGTTGGACCACAGCTCTGCTTGACGGAGACGAGCCCTGCTTTTGCCTGGAGCCATGGAATTGGAGGGGTCCCTGTGCTCTATGTCCGGAAAATCTGCAATCGGGGGAAGTTTGTTGAGGGTCGCTCAATTTGATAGCCCGGGGGTGTTGAAGGTGAAGGCTAATGTTTCATTGACCACCCTGATTTAGAGCTGCAAGGGCGTGGAACAGCCAAGGTCTCAGGAGTCTTTGGTGATATTCGGGCATTCCCTCTTCTTCCAGCAGCTCATGCGTGAGTTTATGTCGGACGACGTCAGGCCCGTGCATGTTGAACTGAACGGCTTGGGAGGCGGACCTGTGTCAGAGCTTGTGTCAGGAAGTCGGTACTCGGACAACAGCTGAGCAAGTCCAAGCTTCCCAACTGCGGCGCCTGAAGCCAAGCCGGCAAAAGCTGACTTCCCAGCGCCTCGCCCTCGCGAAGAAAGGTCGTGCGGCTGCAGGTGGCCGTGGCCCAAGCATCGCCCCAGCTGTTGGGAAAGCTTTGGGCTTCGGGTGATATGTCGCAGAGTCGAAGAGGACCCTTCGAGAATGCTTAGCGGCCCCTTCGTTGAGGCGCGGCGTGCCTCTCCCTTCCGCACCGCTCCGAGCACCCTAGCCCCCTTCCTCTTCCTCTCCCTCTTCCTCAGGCCGAGCTCGTGCTGGGCACGGAGATGGCGACGGCAGGCCAGCGTGTCAGGCCTTGAAATGCAGTCTTCCCCCGCCCATCCCGCCCTGCAGATTCCTTCTCACTGAACTGCTGCGCCGCGAGTGCGGATCTTCAAGACGAGCTGAGGCCGTAGTCGCGCCTTTTTGGCTTTTCGGCCTTGGGGTTGCTCTCTGCCCAAAGCCGCAGGATTGATCACGCGGTGTCCTTGAACGCAAATGGCACGCTGCGCGGAGCTTGGGGGCTTTGCCAGCCTGGTGTTGTGTGAGTCAAGCAGAAAACGGAGCCAAGGGAGACCATTCCGGAGGAGGGCCCGGAAGAGGCAACAGTGGCAGCTGCGTGAGGCTCCAGACCGTATTTGCTCCTCGTGCCAGGTCGGCCAATCCCCTGGACGCAGTCCCAAAACTGAACCCGTCGCAGCTGTCGCCCTTAGTACACAGGGCGTGCAGGAGCCGGTGACAAAGACGAGCGGGCCGAACCAGGCGAGTCAGGCACCGGCAAAGCCGGCTGAGCCGCCGGGAACATCGACCAAGAAGCCCGCCAAGAAGTGCTGCCCCTTCTAACTGCTGCCGGACAGGCCCGTTCATACATGTCGTTCATACATGGTCATAGCACGTGGACCATTTGCAATGTGTGCTACCTCCGAAGTCCAATCTCTGTCCAGCGGAACTACTTTCCGGCCCATCAGCCAAGCAGGGGCCGGCATTTTGCTGCGAGGTCCAGCTAATCCTCCCAAAGGCTTTAATATTCTCGTGACGGCATCCATAGCGCGAGCTGCAAAGGCAGACTGCACCTTGGTCTTGTCCATGCCAATCCACTTGAATAGTCTTTTGCAGGCGGCAGTTCCCATTAGTGAACTAGTGGCTTGCTGAGATTCTCCTTGGGTGAGCTAAACACGATCACCAATTCGGTGTGCAACATGTACGGCTGGTGCAAGGGCACAGCAACTTGCTGTGACAGCAACGAGGCAAAACACGTGCGATTGGGAGGATTCTGTGTCGCAGCAGTAACGCGAAACTTGGGCTAAGTTTTCCTCATGGCAAGGTTGAACCCTGGCGGCCGCAAGCTGCTGCACTCTTGGCAGATCTGGGTCGAGGCCAGGCTAGGCCGCTAGGCGGCTTGACTCTCCTAGTCTTCCGCGGGGCTCCGCAAGATTCCGGAACCGAGTAGTGCTGGTGTCACAAGGAACAGTTGACGTCCCTTCCGCCGGCGTGCAGACGCCGGCAACCAAGGATCTGTATGGGGTGCTCTTGAGAGCGTTTCGTGGCAAGGAATGCAACAGGCTGCAACATGTAAAGACCGGATTTGCAACGAAAGCTTAGGTTGCTGGTCAGCCTTGCGACTGCTCCATCCGGAGGTGAGATAGTGAGATCAGCGAATATCTGAATGTGAAACTGCCTTCACGCGCATCCGCTCCAGTCCAGGCGACCTCAGCTCTTCGATGGGTGGCTTGAAGCTTCTGACGCGGGTGATGAACGTCACTGCCTCCGGTGCCAAGATTGTTCGTCCTCTTCATATCCCTTTGCCGTGAGGCTTGGGCAATCGGGGCAGAGCAGCTGAACGACGAGGAGACCTTGTTGTCCTCAAAGAAAGTCTTGCAAATTGGATGACGGAAGACCAAGCTCGTCTGGCGCGACCTGAGGCGCACGCAGCCATCTCACGGGCTGTGGTGAGGGATTCCGTGCTGCCGGGCGCGTGGGCGAGGCTCCCAGTCGGGACTGGGACTGAGACTCTCGCGGAGATCTTCCGATTAGTGAGGCCCTGGCAGCTGTCACACTCGGATCGGTGCCAGACTTGCTGACCAGCGAGGCAGGCACTGCGGCACTGCGGCACTGCGGCACGGTGAGTGCGACGTTGTGTGTCTCGCCGTGCGCCAGATGTCCATCGCTGTCATCAAAGAGGCCGATGATGGGAGCCGTGATGATGCGGTTCTTCAAATGGCAAAGAGTCACCCGACGGATATGGGATCAGATTCGGGATGATTCGGATGTCTTCTCATTATCCTGCGGAATTGAATGCTCCACACGGGTTTTTAGCAATTTGTGTCAACGACCGAGGTCTGGGTGCCGAATGCCAGCGTTTCCTGGTTCAACTTCGACAGGACGTCGCACCACCTGAGCCGATTAAGCTGTTGCCCAGCCTGAGTTGAGTCACAGTGGTGCGAGTCACAGTTGTTGTTGTACTTGTAGGAGTACGGGCAGGAGCGACAGCAGCAGTCGCAGACGAAGCGGCAGTACAGTAGCTTTTTAAAGTATCTACAGCCAGGGCCATGCCACGAATGTCATAAACAGCGGGCAGTATATAGTACAGGAGCCACCCAAACTCATGAGCTGGCAGCACTCGCAGGCGAACTGCGTAATCGAGCCGCCCAGCAGGAGCGCGGCCGCCTGAAAGCAGCGGCGAAGGCTGTAGAGGCGACTTTGCACGCGACTGCGTGCTTCTGTCGGACGTGGCTGCGATCAGGTCTTGGGGCTTCAGGATCAATTCCCCGACGCTGGGTATCTCTGGCGGTCAGAGGCACTCAACTCCTCTTCCATTGTCTTGTTTTGCTCTACCTGATCGCGGTTGGGTTCGGCTGAAGGCACTCGAGGCTGCCATCGAGAAAGGCGTCCGGTTTGCTTGCCATCCTCAAAAAGTCAGTGCCAGTGCTTGGTGAGGGCGGCGAGAAGCGGTGGTTGGACTGGGTTGCGAGGCAACCGCTCTTCATGTTGCCGTGAGAGTGCTAACTTCGACCTGTGAGGAGGTACGGCTGCGTGGCAGATGTGTGGACGGCCTTCTGCAGTGTGGCGAGGTCAGCAGTTGGGAGCTGCCAGCGTTTTGCATGGGTGTTGGTACGTCTTCAGACCCTGCATGGGTCGAGTATCCACGGATTGTCAGCAATAGTTATATAGTTACTAGTTGGGCATGATTCCTTGACCAGGGTTTTGCACAGGTTTGCTGGAGTTAGGGGGTCGCTATGCCAACACGGGGGCCAAGACCAAGCACTCCGAAGCATCCCCATCCCGGCGGTGACGGAGGTGGAGCTGGCGGTTGACCTGGCAGATGCCTGGGGCGTGGGCATTTCTGAAGCCGTTCGACACGAGAACGCTGAGAGGGCGAAAGCAGAGGCCGCAGCAGAAGCTGCTCTGGTGCACTGAGTTCTGAGCTGCATTTCCAATCAGAGGTGCCCTACCTCCGCCTGCCCCTAGATGTCGATGTTCAAATGGTCACGACGGAGGCCGAACAGTCTTTGAAGCTGCAGCTACAGAAACCGGTCCCAGACAGGCATGCATCGAGGGCATGCGAGGCATCCTCCTGGACGCAAGCGTCATCGGCGTGGACCTGGACATTCCACTCACTGAAGTTTTCGGGGTGTGGGGCAGTCATTCTTTCGCTGTCGTTGCATAGGAGTGCAACACTGCGGGGACGTCCCGATCCCAGGTCGCTTGCACAAGTCTTGCCGCTTCTGAAGATGTCGGCTTGCACCCCTGAGGCCCACCCTACTTCAGCTTGCTACTCCCCGTCAAGCCTTCCTGGCATCTCGGACGGTACACTGGACTTACGGAGCTGGCATGCGCTGGCCTCATCTGCCTGGTCTCCAGGTTGATCTCCAGGTTGTGGGCAGTTGGCCGAGTTTCGCGACGGCAATGCAGGACTTTGAGAGACGAAGTGCAATTTCGGGCCTGTTTTACGGCTTCACTCTCCTTTTGTGACGGACCCGGGTCACAACACTCCTAAGAACCGGTTGAATCTGAAAGACGAATGCTGCTTAGCTGATGCTACACACTTTTCTGGAGATCTTGCGGGGTGAATAGGCAGTCCGACTACGGCGGCTGCTGATGTGGCTCCTACGACGTCTGATGTATTAAATGCAAGCCAGCGCTGATTTGTATACGCTTTGGTTGTGGTCGCCTTCAATACTCCCAGATGAAGCCTTGATCCAGAGCCACCCGAAACACCGAAGGTTGCCCCAGCGGGAAGCGACGGTACGACACCCGAGTTCGACCGAATATCTTCCCCAAATTTCGGTCCGGCACAAGCACGTTTCATGTTAGTGGTCCATGTTCATAAGGCTCCCGTTGCTGTCGAATCCTCCCATTCTACAGACCTGCAGTCTTACGTTCCTGCGGTTGTCTAGCCTGCAGCAGTCCATGCAGTCGTACTCGAACGCCCCTGTGTGTCTCTTGCAGCCTGCAGTTCTCCTGTGCAAACGGAATGTCTGCAACAGGCGAGCAGTGCGCTCCGAGGATACTTTCAGACAGTTTGGAAGATAAAGCTCAAGCAGGAATTACATGGCTTGAGCATCCCAGCTCTCACCCCGTCAACCGGCCACTTCAAGGTACCCGTACCACCCCAAAGCAGTGCTTAGGGTTGCGCAAATTGACAAAAGTCTTTGGATGTATTCCCGGCAAATGCCCCACGACAAAATCGTTAACTTTAAGGCACCGCTAGTACTGCTTGTAGGCGGTCCTCGTCATATCTCATCTTATCGGTCGAGATCGGAGTGATGGATTGAGGGCAAGCGTGGGGGGTGGTCGGGGTCGGAAAGCACCCTGTCCGCAAGGATGTTTGCGCTGGCCACGCGCGAAAAGTCGGCTTCGGGATTGCAGAAGACTTAGGCCAGATTGAAAGCCTGTTTGCGTTGCTTCGGCAGACATGTCGAGCCACACGGGAAGACGAGCTTTGTAGGCAAACTCTCCAAGAGCTTCCCGTCCCTTGCGGCTGCAGCTTGTGCAGCCCCACTGAGTGACTTGAGGGAAGTCGAGGCCGTGCGGGGTCTCTATCAGCATTGCGCATTGCGCATTGTCAGTCTCATCATTCTCAGCAGGCGCAACTCAGATCCCTTGAGCCCACGGCCAAGATAGTCTCCGGTGAGTCGTGCTGTGTAATTGGTCTACGTGTCGAGTGCAGGTCTGGCATCGGAAAGAAGAGAGCTCGCGAGGGGATCAGCCTCTCTGCTCTTGCCCGAGCCTCAGCCCGTAACTGTGCCACAGCAGTGCCCAGCGCCAGCCGTGAGGCAGAGAAGTACTTGGGCAAGCCCCTGGACAAAGCCTTCCAGGTCAGCATCCCTGAGAGGCCAGGGGCAAATCCTGGCTTGTCGAGCCAGGTGGGAGACTGGAGCCATCGCCCCCTCTCCCAGGCCGGAGGTCAATACGTGGACGACAAAGCTACTAGTAGGTGTGACAAGTCTTCTGCGCACGCAAGGCCAAGCGCAAGCGATAACTCGAACTCGTGCTGTTGAGGGAGGACTCGCCTGCGTAGCGGGGTGCCCACCCACGCAATTGAGGCACGGATGCACTATGCCGCGCTGGATGCCTGGGTCCCTGTGAAAGTCGGTGCCTTATACAAATCGCTGGTTGGTCCAACCCTCCACTGGCGGATGGTGGAAGTTTTCCAGGTCTACGAAGCCGTGCAGACTTCGCCCCTACAACCTCAGCCGACATGTGCGAAAAAAATGCACCCAGAGAGGGGCCTTGAAACCTCTGCTCAGGAATTGCATGCTCTGCTCCGCCCATCTGCACAGGACAAGATTCTGAAGGAAAGCGATGAGTTTGTGCCAGCAGCCTGGCATCGTCCAGCATGGAGTTGACTGTGAACGTGGATATGCGAGGTCGACGATGGCAGCTTTGCTCCAGCCCTACTGTGAAGATGCCTTGGGAAAGGCCGGACAGACCGCACCGCGGCAGCAGCTGGCCTGCTTTGCCTGCCTTCGTGGCTTCTGCAGGTAGTGGATGCAAGAACACCTGGCCTGGTGAGCCTTTCGTTCCCACCTTCAGAGGCACGGTCACAGCTTTGTGCCAAAAGCAGTGCCTGCATGGAATTGCAGGATGTGGAGCCCCAGCCCACAGAGGATTACATTCTGGCAAGCTTTTACTCCACATGGAGGCGAAGGCGCACACCTGCAGCCTATCATGCCCGTCCATGTCGGTAGCATTGCATCATGAAGTTCTGAAGTTTTCTCAGCATGATATGGGATACCCTCGGCCAATTCCTGCGCAGTCAGCTGAAGATGATGCACTTCCTTGGGCCCGGAGCTGCTAAGGCCAGGGACGGCTCTTTAGGAAAGCTGTAGACATTGACCAGTAGATTGAGAGGGCAGTAGATTGAGAGGGAGCATGATGAAGCCATCGTCTGGCACAAGGTGAAACTGAAACCCAAGGAGGACGACACGGCCGCTTAGCCGCATGATCAACTTTCGCAGCACTTTGGTGCAGCTTGCCTGAGAGGCTGGCGAAGAAGCTGGCCACCAGGACTTCTGGTGATCCGGGGCCGGTCCGTGTCGACGGGTTTGGCTCTGTTTTTTCCATTCGTGCGCTCGATGTCTATGCCCGTGCCCAAGCGCTATGGCGCGTAGCTGTTAGGAAAGGGACGGCGGGGCAGATGTCTGGATGGAGGACTGTACCAACAACTTGCACGCGACATAGCAGCGAAGAGTGGACCGACGTGCCTAGAAGCATCCAGAAAGACCTCACCCCCCGCACACACTCTCTCAACAAGGTGTAAGTAGTGGAGCACCAGCTTGAAACAATACTTCACGGACTGCTAAGTGCTTCAAACAATGCTGGGACCCGGGCTGCCTTTCGCCGTGACTCCCGAGAAGAGGTGCAAGGGTGAGGTGCTGCAAGGCTCTGTTGCGGTGAGTTCCACGCAGGTGCAGCCTGTGGAATGTAACACCTAGCACTGAGCCGCCAAAGTCATGCGACGCGCTTAAGCATGTGGCGGCCCTGTGTGCAGCTCTCATAGAAAGTCCTGCAGATCAGGCCGTTCCAGCACAGCGAGCTCCGACTGCCAGCAGCCCGTCGAAGGGCGCTTCGCAGCAAGAAGTTCAAAAGTTTAGCTGTGCTCAGGTCCGTATCCTGGTGCAGGGGAGTCTTCCGAGGCACCATGGATGCGTGTTATGGGGCTTCAAAAGCCTAAAATGCGGCACTTCTTTGCACGAGGCGATCCCCTGCAGCCTCCAGGAGCGACTTCTGCAGCACGCTGAGGCTCAGCAAGAGGCCCAGGATCAGGAGGCCCGGCGAGACGACGAGAGAGCGGAAGCCGGCTGAGTTCACTCCTAGATGGCCTGTCGCAGGCTGGAGATCGTGTAGATGGACCGGTCCAGCTCCAAGCGTCCAGTGGGTCCCAGGGGCAGGGGTAGAGCATGGCAGAGCTGCTCTTCTTGCAGGTGAAGGCGCACTGGGAAGCCCTTCTAGTGGTGCTCCCATGCTTCTCCGGCTATGCGGCGCTCTTCGGCCTGCAGCACGAAGTCAAGGCGGAAGCAGGGCCATGCGGCAAGTGCCGATCCTGTCGGCGTCGCAGGCGCGCTTCCGCATCGCGGATGACAGCTCAGACGCCTCGCACAGCTTTAGCGCAGCTGTGTGGCCGTCTCAGTGCTTGAGGGTTCCAGCCCGTGCGTTTTGTGTCTGCACCGCTCCAAACATGGGGGACAGCGGACCTTCGCAACACTAAGTGACCAGGCGTGCACCAACGCACATTTTCGGGGTTGGGGCGCTTGCCCTCGTAAGCAGCATGACAAGCGCTCGTAGCATGAGCCAGCAGGACGATTCGTACCATTTTCACAGTACTATGGCAGCTACTGTATTTGCGTGGGTATGCTCTGTAGGAACACCGGCAACGAGGAGCAGCATAAATTCCCACAAGTCTGGCAGTGCTGTTAATAACCCAAGCCATAAGCCAAGCCGAGCCAAGCAACACCAGGCCAAGCCAATGGAAAACCAAAGCGTCCACGAGCAGTAGGTGCATATGTGCAACGCAGTAGTGGTGGTAGTGCTACTCATGTAGTTGTTGGTTGTAGTGCTGGCAATGGTAGTGGTGGTGTCACTGGCAGGGGTAGCCATAGTGGCAGTCGTAGTGGTGATGGTCGTCGTCGTAGTCGTAGTAGTAATAGTAGTAATAATAGTAGGAAGACAAGTGAAACCGGCTGCCGTTTGACGGTGTAAGCCCCCTTCGTGAGTCAGGCTCCGGACCTGCGGCAGCGTGGAGAAAGGGTCATCGCACTGAAACCAAATTAGTAGGAGGAGGCTTTCGTCGTCGGCGTCGTCGTACTTGCCAGTATTAGTACTAGTACTAGTACTAGTACTAGTACTAGTAGTAGTCGTCGTAGAAGTGGTGGTGGTGGTGGTGGTGGTGGTGGTGGTGGTGGTGGTGGCGGTGGTGGTAGTAGCAGTAGTTATAATAGCAATGGTGGTGGTAGTAGTAGTAGTAGTAGTAGTAGTAGTAGTGGTAGTGGTAGTGGTAGTGGTAGTAGTAGTAGTAGTCGTAGTAGTAGTCGTAGTAGTAGTCGTAGTCGTAGTAGTAGTAGTAGTAGTAGTAGTAGTAGTAGTAGTAGTAGTAGTAGTAGTAGTAGTGGTAGTGGTAGTGGTAGTGGTAGCAGTAGGAGCCAGCGTGCTCATGCGTGCTCCCGCACACTCCTTGACATAACACCATTGCTTTGGGGATGGGTGCAGGGTGCGGGCGCGCGCTGATGATACTTTTCGTGCGAAGTCAAATTGACTACTCGGATTATTGCTACTAAAGCATCATTGCTGCTGCTTCTGCCGCCACCAGCACTGCCGCCATCACTGGTGAACCTGCTGCTGCCATGTTTTGTTCACGGACGGGGTGACGAACTACCAAGACTGGAAGTCTGCTCCGCACTGGCATGGCAAACTGTGCCACCACCACAGGGTCAGCCACACCCAACTGTCCGTCTTTGGAAGCATTGTAGGCACTTCCCAGAGACACGGCACTGGATGTTCCACACCAAAAGCCATGAGCCCTTGTACAGCATCGGGGAGCAGTTGTGCGTTTGCAAAGAAAACCACAAGCAGTGATTGCGCCAAGCTTTGAAGAACAAGTATAGCAGCTGCTGTCCTTTATGAGGTCCACGAAACCTGAGGTCGTAGCTAACTTGTGCTGTCAACACAGGCCCAGCTTCTGATCAAAACCATCCATATGTCCTCAGATAGTTGCAAGGTTGAGACGATAATTTCTAGTGATTACTACTGTTTCTTGCGGTTCCGCCGCTTTCCAAATGTTTTGAGTTGTGAATGGGGGGGAGCATGCTGGCGGCCGGTGGCGGCAGTGGTGGTGGTGGTGGTGGTGGTGGTGGTGGTAGTGGTAGTTGCGGTCGTGGTAGTGGTACTCGTGGTGGCAGCGGTAGTAGCAATCCCTGCTTAGTAATAGTAGTAGCAGCAGCAGTACTAGCAATAGCAGTAGTAGTAGCAGCAGCGCACCAGCTGACAGGGCTGCAAATTCTCATTCTTGCGGTGATGACACAATAGCTGGGTGTAGCAACAGGCAACACCTACCTCCCGAAGAAGCGCCGCATGACCAGGTCTTGCCTGTACCTTTTTGGCCTCATCTTCCGGATTGGCCACAAAGTGGCCAGCTCGGTTTGCTGGCAGCCAACCGCCAGAAATTCGGACCTGGCTGGCTCTATTTCGAGGTAGTTTTCTCCAACCTGCACCCGCGAGTCCGGGTGCTGGTCAGTCGGCAGCATGCAGTTCGAACGGCATAGCGAATGTTTCGCATTTCGCTGAAAGTCTTGGAGCTGCTAGTGGCATGCACGGAGGTTGCTCTGGGCTTCATGATGCTGTCCATGTTTCTCGGAAAACTACTATTCACTAAGCTTTTCTTTTCGTACGAGGGACATCAGCGGCTTGGCGATCTGAGCTAAGGTTGGTGATGGCTGTTGTTATCCTCACACTGGAATGCTACAGTCTTTATTGGGCGGTGGTCTCAGTTTCGGGGCGCCTGCCAGCAGTCAAAGGAGAGGATTGCTTTGGACTTGCTGCATTTGCTGAGGTGGTTTTTGCTTACGCACTTGGTGGCGCCGTTGCTCGGCGAAGAAAAAGCGAGTCAGCAGACGGACAACATAAGTGTCTCGGCTGTAGTAGTGGATGAGTAGCTGTGCTTGGAGGCCATGGGGTCCTTTGAGTCCAACTTGCTGACCTGCCTGACGCCATTGGGAAGCCGCACCAAGAGCATTGCCATTCTGGGCCGTCGACTGAAGCGTCGGAGGGGTACGGTACGGCTCATCCTTACTGAATCCCGAATCCTGGAGCTGAGGCATTCCGCTGGGCATCAACAGCATCTTGATCGGTGGATTTTACCTTATGGGGCCACCCCTCAAGGCCCGAGCATCGACTGGGATTCGAACTTACGTTCGCGAGCTTTCGGCCTATTTCCCCTTAGGTGTCTGTCACGGCTGTGTTTGCAGCGGTGGCTGTGCTGAACCTGATGGGAATGCATGGCCCTAAGTGACCATCCTCGCGGCAGCAAGTCCAGGCTTTGCTCCTGGGATTCGCGCAAGTATCCAGAGCATCCAGCAGCGGAATTTGCTCAGGCTGGTCTTCGCGTTGCGCATACCACGCCCTGCGCATGAGTCAGGCAATCAGATGCTTGCGACAAAACAGAAAGGGGCATGCTTGTCGTGAGGCATCTGAATTTTCACAGGCGTTTGCCTGCAGTCGGAGCGTAGCAACGTCCACGCATGCACAGTCTAAACCAAAAGGCTGTGACCGTAAAGCGCATTTCACATGGGATGCCCTGGTCCGCTGATCCAGCAGGTGGCGAGTGTGGGGCAAGCGAGATCGTCGCAGACTGCAAGGGCTGCAGGCGCCTCCAGCTTCAGCTAGGAACTTGCGGAGCTTCTAAAAGCTTCTTGGCATATCGATTCTTGCGGCCACTTGCATCGTGCCTTCAAGAACGGAATGTGGTGCTGCGTCCTCCTAGTGTAATCCTGGCTTGAGACCCCAAGGCGCATCCGCAGACCCAAGCTGTTTCTGATGTCAGGCAGTGGTTGCCACGCGTCTGGCACTACCCTCTTGCTTTCGCCGTGGGGGCCTTTGGATTAATCTGAAGGCGGAAGCAAGTTAGAAGAGGAGTGCTTCAGAGCTTGATAATGTTAGCGTCGTTATGTTGTGGTAATATCCCAAGCCAACTGACAAAGGTTGACACTTTCACGCTCGCTGGCTTCTCTCCGGGTCTTTCCCTGTACTTGTATGACCAGGCCAGGACTGCAGTGGAAGTTTCGTGAAGCCGGAGAGGCGACCGCTGTGCTGTGTCAAATGCAGGAGGTAGTGCAGCTGACCGAGAGCTTCGCAATGGCAACGAAGACGTGCACCTCCCAATCTTGCTCAGCATGGCAGCTGTTTGCGAGTTGGCTTTGTGCACTCATTCTGTCGGAATGTCGTGAGAGGTTCTTTGCGTTCTACAACACAGCCAACATGCTCGGAGGCTCTTTCTTCGGTTAGTGCATGACAGCTTTCGCGCGTCACATATATGTTGTAGAGATGCGCTGTCGGACAGCAGTGGCCAGGTCTTTGTGGACGATGGCTGAGCTACCGAATTCTTCCCCGCCATCCGGCCGTCTACGTAGGCATCGACCTTTGGTTCACTTGCATCAACACAGTAGAGTTGCTTATCGTATTGGCGAGGCTTCAGTACTGTGGGCGTCCTGCTGCTTCTGTCGCTGCGGCCTGTCAGTCCCTCAGAAAAAATTCAGGAAGCTACCTGCCGAGCACGAGCTGCAGGTGCTTGCTCCAGTGGGAGCTTTCTTGGCGGCTTGTCTTGGTAAGATCACCGTGTGCGGGCATTTCGAGGCGCTTCGAACAAGATGCACTTGTCATGCCTGACCCTGAGGTAATGCTGGGAGACGGGTTGATCTATGGCACAATCAGCGCGGCTCCCAAACAAGCCTTCGATGCTGCCTGCGCTTGCTCTGTGTTTGTGCCGGCTTCCCGGTCCGTTTGCCTTTCCCCTTACGGTCCCTCGGCCCGTGTGTCCGTCCGTCTGTTTCAGAGGTGTCGTTTGTCCACGGCATCTGTGTCTGTTATGGTTTCTGCTCGCCTGTGTTTATCTGTGTCTCCATCTATGCTGAGGTCGCTACGTCGACTCCGCCGTACCTGAGGATGGGCATGTTCTCAAACATTTCGGTTGGAGAGGACGTTTGGTCAGCAATCTTCTTGAGCAGGAGTTCAATCTCATCGCGATTTCATATTGGCTTTTCATCGGCGACATTGGCAGTCTTGTGGGGTGACGGTCTCGGATTCTCCGGAAGATGTCTATCTAAGACTAAAGTCATCTAAAGTCGCAGACCGTGAAATCTGACCAAGGTCAAACTTGATTTGCTACCTCCACGACTGGCTTGTGCCAGGTTAAGTTACAGTTTGCCGGAAGAAGCTGTTAATTCGCAGCAGTTAATTCGCGGAAACCAGCAACTCCCTTGTGAATCTTCCAGGACGTCCTCTCGGTCCAGGTTTTATGTGATACTGTTCAGAACGAGGAAGCCTTGTTTGTGAGGATTTCCTGGCAAGAAATTCAGCTCCCACCTGCACCGCTGGTAGCTTTTTCAGCAGCGGTGCCGGCATCACGAGCTGGTGGTTCTCAGACGAGCGCGAGGCGCAAGGCAGGAGCCGGCAGTCGCCATTTCCAGGCAATGAGTCTCGTACTTGGTTCGGTACTTCGCACGGCGCGATCTCTGACCCTAAGGCTCTTACAATGCTCGCAGCTCTCGTATGAGGGCATTGAAGATTGTTTGTGAGGCTGTAAGGCAAGGTGACATGCCGACCTTTCATGCTTCACCATGAACCCGGGCAAGGCACGGGCAAGGGAACGGAGCACCGTAGGCCTTCGTGCGGTGAGCTGCGCGAATTGCGCTACACGTCTCCAGGGAAGTGGTCAAGGGGTGTGTGACAAAGCAGAGCTTGCAAACACGGTCAGAAGCACCCATGGCACTCCCGCTCTTCTGACTGTTTGGCAGGATTCGGTGCAGATATCTGCCGGATCAAACACCATACTGATCTTTCGCTCTGCCCTTGGCCACGCCGAGCCGTCTTTCGTTTGCTGCTGATACTGGTGCAAACTCAGGTCCTGGCATGTTCGACCTGGAATGCAGAACAGATGAGGATCTCATGGGTGACTGCATGCCTGGGTGACGTCGGGATGTCAACCTCCGCAGAAGGAGACATTGATGCTCTCCGCATCTTTGCTCGAGCATGTGGACCCGCATGGGCCTCGTGGTGCCATGTGAGACTCTTTTGCATCCGTCCGGAGCGGTGGGTTTTGCAGGCTGATCCTGACTGGCAACGAAGTCGGCGTTGCACGGCGGCATGAAGTGGCGCTCTTGTAGTTCCCGCAAGACCCTATTGGATCAGCCATCGAGGACCTCGACTGGCTGCGGTGTGTCGAAGGCCCACCTGGTCCAGAAGGCCACGCCATCAACGTCCTGACCCAACTGTTCAAGCTGTCCTGCCATGTTTAGACAATGCCATGCACTTGTGGAGCTGAGGTTGTGAACCTGTCAAGCCGGCTTATGGCCAAGTTTGACGAGCCCGAAGCGTGCTCCGTTGTTATTCAGTTCCTTTCTTTTTTTGTGGAGCTGCTTCCCTCAGGAACCGCTTTTCATCCCATGGCTCGAAGCCCACGGCAGGACATGACACCGTGATGCTGAATGGGCTTGTCAGTATTTGCAGATAGCTGCTACTTTATAGATCTGTCTACTGAACACGGCTGGTTGATGGAACATGGTGGAGAGCAAGTCGCAGGCCGCCAGCAGGAATGATATAAGCATTCAGTAGACATGAAGCCGAGCCTTCCAAATACTGTCACACAGCCCGCCACATGGACGGAGCTGGTAGATTCAGCATTGCGATGTGTCGTGCAGCATGAGATGATGCCTTCCAAGGCGAGGCTGAGTGCACAGGGCAAAGCCGCTCATCAGGCATGTTTTTCAAGGTTCAACGGCCTCCAGCTGATGATGGTTTCTACGTTGCAATTCCCAGCTACAAGCGTGCGCAGGGTGCTCGGACCGCTTTACACTGTTGGAAACATGCGCAACATCAACAGCCACCCTTTCGACAAGGGAGTTGATCCAGCGAAAGACGCTCGCAGTATTGCAGAGGCGTGGGACGGGGAGTATCGAAACCTCGTACCATCCCAATCATTGAATTGTGACAGGCACAGCATTCCGAAGGACCGCGTCTACATCTTTGTGGCATCAGAGTCCCAGCGCCGTGCATGCATTCAGAGTAACTCGGTGCTCTTGCCTGCGTCGCTTGATGCTGCCGTGGTGTCTTGATTCCAGGTACGCGGTGTACCGCTCTGCATTGAGTCTGTGCCTCAATGCCCGGTATTTTCGCCACTTTGTCAGGTTGCAAGCTTAGTGTCCTTGTATGGCACTTCGACACTCGGTCTAATTAGTCACTAGACAATTTAATTGCCAGGCCTGCTGCATTCATGGGATGCCCCCAGGCAGTCTGGGAAGCTTCGGTATTCTCTCATGAAAGGCTGCAGCCGCTTGCTGCTGAGATTGACATCAGTTCGGGTCGTTTCGACAGATTTCGAAGATGACCGAAAGAACTGTAAACCAAGGCTCAGTACCCCAGGAAGGGAGCATCTGCAGCGTAACCGCATGACTTGTCTCTGCAAACTTCCGGCGTGCTGAGCCATGCGCCTGCGCCATGCCATCTGGCAGAAGTTGCAGCCCAGCCCTGCGTCACCGAAGACTGAACAAGTGCAAGCGGTGGAACTGCTGCACTAGGGCTGCGGCAATGCAGCGTCATGGGAGGAGGTCAGCGGCAATCCAAATCCGTGCAGTGCTGCAGGACACTTGACATGGTGGCGTTGGCAGAACAACTTGGCCAGCTCCCACAGCTCCAACGCAAGCAGCAGACTGAGGAAATTGAATGTGTCTTCTCTCTCTGTCTCTCTCTGTCTATACCTCTTCTCTATGCTATTCTATGACTAATTGCACATGGGACTGAATCATCACGGTCGATCTCTCTCTCTCTCTCTCTCTCTCTCTCTCTCCTCTCTCTCTCTCCGTCGAGGCCATGGGTGATCTTAAGCGACTGCCGAGCTGACTTCGAGTCGGCCCTGGGACTCAGCACAGATGCCTTGCAGCTTGGCAGCGGAGCAGCGGCAGCGCACTGCGGTTTCGAGAGTTGGAGCACAGCAAAACAGTGGCAACAGTTGCAGCGAGGCTGATCACACTAGCAAACTGGCTCGAGGACTCGTGCGTGGGACAGGAGCTCAGCTTCAGCCTAGCGGCCCTAGCGGCTTAGCGCAGCTCAGGGTAGCCGTCCGGAGGGAACTTCGCGCTCTGAGGCCTGGCCCACGTCAGCCGGGAGCTCTGAGCTCTCTGAACTCTCTGAGCTTTGAGCTCTCAGCGACTCCAAGTTTCGGACTTCTCAGGTGGAAACGTCTATTTGGGGCTCTCCATGAACTTGGGAGCTCGTTCGCTCGCACCCGAGCAGGTGCCAAAAGAGCAACTCTCCGAGGAGAGAACCCCCCCGGCCCCCTGCCCACGGCATGCGGACCGGAGAGGTGCTACTGGGAAATCTGTTTTCACACGGTGAGATTGGTCTTGATCCTTGCCCTTGCACGTGTAAGAGCATTTTTGGATTACAGTAGGTTCAAACAGCCGAATGGCCTCTTGGTGAGTAAGCTATTGCTTCTGGAGTGAGCTGAGGATGCCATTGCGTCACCAAACTTGCCAGATGACCAGGTGCGCACGTGGAGGGTTCAAAGCTCCGAAAGCCTGTACAATGCTTTATCTTTTGGGATTTCCTTGGTTGTCAGGCATGTGGCTTGCTGGCGGAAGTGGCAACCTACCCTCGTTGCTTGGCGATCCGAAAGCGCAGGTGTTTGCTGTTTACCGTGCCATGCAGGTCTGGTTGGTGCTTTCCAGTGGTACATGTCTCGATTGTCAGCAGGCCTGCGCTGGCTTTGCTCTTCAGCCCAGAGGTCTGAGGCCCATGTGTTATTTGCACCACCTTTACTGCAAGTCTGCATGTGCCAATATGAGGCGGTGGCACCGAGCTTGTCGGTGACGCTTCAGCCGGAAAAGCCACGCCAGGCAAGACACGAGTCGAAGCATGTCCGTTCCGCGGTACGTCTGGCGGTTGATGCATGACAGGTGGGTGACATCGTAAAGCCGGTTCGCCGAAGCCTGCTAAAAACGTATCCCGCTCTTCGTGGCATGGCTGCATGCCGTCTTTGTCATGCAGGGAGGGGGATGGGATTATCAAGACTGATAGCAGATGGCTGTTCCATCCTTGGCAGGCTGCTTTGAGAGGAGGCGTGTTCACCTCCTCTGTATCAGACTTGAAATGATTGTCTGGTCGGTTGAATCACCTGGACGCATGCTGTAATCTCCCAGAGTGTTGTGTTCGGCTGTGGCGCAGCAGCAGTGCATTGCACAGCATCTCGAGGTGACATGATTGGAGATCCCTCAGGAACACATGGAAATTGCCTTCAGCTTCTTGGTGTGCTAAACATCACAGCTTGTGCTTCCCCTGTGCCACGGAAGCTGCAGTAATCAGCTGGACTTCCCACAGAGCCCGGAAGGCATGAGGGCAGATCATGGCAGAAGGAGCTACTGCTTTGCCAAAGGCATGCGAGTTTCAGACACTATGACCTGTGCGGAGATACCTTGGAGGACACAAACTCCAAAACACATGCCGGTTTTGCGTGTGGCAGGGCAGCGTCTGTACACCGGGGTGGCGTGCTGCAAGGAGTATCAAGCCTCTGCTGCGCGTATCGCTGCAGAGCTTTGGATTGCTTGCAGTGGTAAGGTGCAGAGTTCAAGAGAAAACTGTGAAATCAGCTTCTATGGACCTGCTGGCTTATGTGAGCCTTAGACTGCTGGTTGCATGGTTGGGTTCTTGCATCGGCTTTCCAAGAAACGCGCCTACGCACCAGCGTCTCGCCCGACTGCTGGCTGCGCATTGAAGACGGAGGTGGGGTCGGTGGGGGCAAGTCGAAGCTGGCAGTTGGCCACCAGTGACCCGAGAGACCGTTTCGAGTGACAATCCGCTATGTCCAGGCAGGTCTTTTCTCCGGCTCAGAGGCCGGGAACGAACGGAGTCCCCACCAACATCCCCTCTCTTTGCACGACAGCGTGAGAGGTGGCCACGCGGACCGGTCAGGGTGCTTTGACGCCGCTGGAGCGCCTCGACCAGAAACTCGGAAGCGTTCTTGCGGCCTCTGCATGTCTTGTGCGTGCTTCGTGCATGCTGGTGCAGAAGGTGCGCGTTGATCTCCCTCGGTGCAAACGGCTTGGATTGCATGTCCATCCTGTCTGCAGTCTGGTGTCAACCATCGGACGAGCAAAACATTTTGGAGAGTCCCAGTTGCAATAGTACTGAACAAGCCTGCGCTTCCATACGGGTGGTTGTCAAAATTATGGTCCCTTCCTGGGTCCCTACTATAGTACGGCACCTACTATTTAGGGTACCACGAAAGGGACTGATTTTGACAACTTCCCATACATGCACTGAAAGGCCCTACGCTTAAACCTTCCAACGTCTCGGGTTCGTAAGCCGATGGCGGGAAATTTGGAGACATGGAACGAATTCCAAAAGGAACGCAAGCGATACCCTGCGGTAGTGATACACTGTGTGGGTCAGAACAATATCACTCACTGGTAAAGCTTGCAGGGTCAGCCTGCCTGCATGAGCATTGCGACATGTGACGCGTGCAGCCTAGCATTGAAAGCTTCTGCAAAGCCCTTTTGTCCGATTCGCTCGGTTGTTCACAGGTTTGCACATCGCACGGTTGTAGGTGACCGAACGGCTTACAGAGTCTGCCGAGGCACAGAACCCTTGCAAAACTTGAACAAGTCCGGAATCCCGGAAGCTGAACATTTGAGACGGCCTGGTTGCACGAGCTCGCAGATGTCGAAATTCAACAAGCTTGCGAACTCTGTGTGGGTTCAGGCTCACGCCTCCTCATCATAAACCTACTTGACCCACGTTTACTCAGAGTCTGCAGCTCACACTGTCACGAGTTTGCTGCTTGCTGCTACAGAAGATCCTGTCTCGGTCTCACATCCGAGGATGAGGGAGCATGACAGAAGCCTCCTCATGGCTTTGTCACCAAATGCTCCATTCGACACGGTCCATCCAGAATGACCACGACTCTCCAGAGACCCGGTCTGCGCGATCGCAAGCATCGCCTTCGCCGCCTCGGCCGCCTGGGCCGGAACCGGCTCTTCACATGGACAACGCTCTCACGATGCGCTCGGCTGCGGACAAAGGCGGAAAAAAAATTGGTGCGAGCCAACCAGAGGGCACGCTGGAATGGATCCCGAAGAGACTTCGAAGTCTGAGTAAGCAGGTCAGGAATGGCAAAACATTGTGATCGGCGTGCCAACTTTGTGGCAGCTTTCTGAGACCGATCTGCTTATCAAACGGGCGGCCTTGGAAAGCTCTGTCGATCAGGAATCAAAGGAATTTCATCACAAAGTTCTTCGCGGAGGGATGCGGCCTCAGTGTTGCTGAGCTGTGAATGCTTTGACATTGCCACCTCAGACTTATACACACATAGGCACCCACATCCTATCCATGGATGATGATGTGGAGGTGTGGAGCTTGAAAATGCATACTCATGCGCTGTCCCGCCGCACACCCATGTACATCCGCTGTGAGGACTTGTACCTTTGCGAGCCACTGTCGCCGCAATCAAGCCCAGAAGCAACGGGCTAAGACACGGGCTAGTGATGTTGCAACGGCCGCCACTGTGTGTGATGGGTCCGCAGAGGTCAAGAGACTTCCCTTACCCAAGGATGCCTGCTCAGCTGTTGACCCATAAGCATGGCCAACTGGCATCAGAGCAGTGTCAAACACTTGCACAATGAAATCAGGGCGGTGTCTTGGCAAAGATCGCGGCCAATGTGTCCACCCCAGCCGCGAGTTCAGTGAGCTGCATGCTGAAGCAATGTCGGACAAGGCCAGGGAGAGGATGCTGTCTGCTGGCTGCTTTCTTTGGTCGTTGAATGCTGGTGCCCTAATGTGCGTGGGTGGACGAGCTACATCTTGTCTACCTCCTGTGCAATGCTGCTGCTAAGGTAAGTGACAATCCTATGTTCATGCGTCACAATGTGCGGGGCTCGGCTGCCAAAATACTCTTGCAGACTATGCGGTGCTCTATCAGCCAATGTAATGCAGGTACTGTTTACGAACGGCCTCTGCAACGGCTTCTTTTGGGGCTTTCCGGCCATAAAGTGCGTGTGTGTTCATGACTCACAACCCATGCTGGCGCATCAGCACTGAGGCTGCCTCAACAGGCACGACGAGGAGAGTTTCCTCAACTGCTGGCAATCACTGATGTTGTATCTTCATTGCCGCTAGGTTTCGGCAGTACTGACTGTCTGCCTTCACTGCATGTCGAAGCGAACGTGCTGCCACTGGTTCACAGTTCTGCATCCAGCACTCGAAGCAGCTCCGGTGTTCTGAATGCAGTGCCGAGCAATATCCTGGCACCTGCCTTGCTTGTGCCGATGAGTCATTGAGCTTTGACCCCATGGTCCTGTATTGTGCTTCAGCAGGAAGTCGAATCATCCTTCCATGAGCACCACCCAAATCGCAGCGACAGTCGAGGTCGAGTCCTTCGGTTGAGCTTCAAAAACATGGCTGAGCCTTACAAAGTCATTCAGAAGCCATGCGCAAAGAGCAGCTTCTCATGGCACAGTCATTGCTGTAATTCTGTAGGCAGGCAGAAAGCCGATTTCCAGACAAACAGCAACGCAGCATGCCTGAAGCCAATGTTGGGAAGTCCTAGACACGGTACTGTATCGTGCTTATGAAGCCCAAAACCCCGCCGCGTAGTACCTCTGCATCTGCCGAGCCGGTTGTCCTCAACATGCCCAGCAGACAGTTGGTCGCACCTGGTCGCACAAAGCTGCATGCCCGAGTCAGTTGTCATATCACCCTTCTACCCCGAGTCCGGACCTTGAGCCCCAAGCCCAAGCCGTGATGTCAGGACCTCACATTGAAGTATGGCGATGGCCATGAGGCATTGGCAGTTCTAGACTTCTGTTCCCCGCGAAACCGAGCTGCCAAGCAGGATGTGGAAAGGTCCGTTCGGTACTTCCAGAAGGATGGTGCGCGGACCTCATGAACAAGGGCTTGATCGGGGTTGAAGGTGCACGAACAGGGCCTCTTTCTTTCCTTTGCTGTGCCCGGTGCTTCTATTCGAACCGGGCTCGACCACAACATCTGCCATGGAACGAAAAAGGGGCTCCGCAAGCAAACTGTACGCTTGCACGAATCGTACCTGCCGAAAGATGCACGGAATTCTCTGCAAACTCTGACTGCTTCTGATCGAGATACTGAGGCTGTGCTCCGCTATAGTTTCATCTGCGCGACATCTAGGTGCAAGCTCAATCCCGGTGGCCTGCAGGCCTGGATACTTTGGAAATTCGATAGCTCTTATGAACACGGCTCCATGGGATGGGGAGGCCTCCATGAAGCCTGGCCAGCGTGCCAAAGAAGAAGATCGGAGTGCTGTGATGCTTGTCGAGGCTTCCAGCTTCGTTCCTTGCTTGTTTGCGTGGCGGTGCTCGTCTTTGTTTTGCTTTGCAGGAATTTCCGCACCTTCTCAAGCTGGCTCCAGGCTCTGCTTTAGGCGGGAGTGGCATTCCGGAAGTGAAGCAAGAAAGAGCCCAATATCTGCCAATAATGTCTGCCAATGCTGCCTGCATGACGTTGTGATTCTTTCGCAGCCTGCGCTAAGCTGGCTTGAGAAATGAAAGGTTTCGGGTAGTGTTGCGAGTAGTCGGCATGGCCGCTCGCCGGCTCGCCGTTCAGCAGTCGGATGATTGCCAAACACGCTTGGAAAGCACGGGCTGCATCTTCGCAGACAAGCCCACTGATGCAAGCAGCGGCTCTCGCCAAGGCTGAGCCTACCGGGCCGAGCTTTGCCGTTGTTTTCTGTGCTTTCTTTGGTTTCTGCTCGGCTCCTGAGGGTTTCAGCTTGCACGGCTTCTCGGCAACTCGGACCAAGCATCCAGCGTCCGCCGGTTCGTGCAAGGCTTCGGGGTGCATCGAAATGCCTATGATTGAGCGGGAGTCAATGAGGTAAAGGTCCGGGCTTCCGGCATTGACAACCCGTCCAGCGGCAATGGGGTGTTCGTGGCTGATGGTACCGTGCCTTCCGGAGCTCTTGTGGCTCTGTATGCGGGTATCTGGTTTCCCTCGGCCCTGCCCTTAAGCTTCGCTGGAGAAGCCTGCACTGTGCTGCACATATTGAGCATCCAAGTTGCCCATGGACAAAATCCAGTGGGGCACAGAGACGCAACCGCGCCCCACTGGCACGGGAAAATGATCAACGAGATTGCGATGTACGAAGTGCACTTTGATGCGTCTGTGGGGGTCCCAACTTGAGCCAGGTACTCATGGTCCCATGTTCTGGATGTTCACGGCCCGGAAGCAGTAGCCTGTCTGCAGCAAGCATCGATCATGTTGGTGTTTGTTGAAGTACATCCAGAGGTTGAGCTGCTCGCACAACAGTCTAAGGTCGATCCGGAACTGACCAGTTGCACAAGCGCGGATGTGGCATCTCGTCGGGAGAACATACTTGGGAGTCGCCGTGGGCATTTGTGGTTGACGCGAGTCAAGGCGGAGCTGTTTCTCTGCCAGGTGTCGTACCATTTGTGCTGTGACGGTGGCATCATGGAGCCTCATCGTATTGAGTCGTTGGTTTGGTAACTTGGGAGTTTTGTTTGGATGATTGGTGGAATCGAACGACGAAAGATACCGCGATCCTTGGATTCAGCAGGATGGCTTCCGTGCAGACTGCCGTGTGAGATCCGCATCTTGCCTTCGATGTGGCGTTTGCTTGGCCGGAAGTTTGCGTTTCGCCAGTGCAACAGCCTGGCTTGTGCCCCAAGCACACCCAGGACAGCATTCGAAGTCCATTCGCTGTTGGCCAGCTTGTGAACCACCCACCCAAAGGAGCAGAACTTGGAGCTGGTGTGGTTGCAAAGCACCAAGACTGCTTCGAATCGCTCAGGCCAAGCCCCCAACGTCAGGTTGCAGCAGATGGAGTTACTCGGACGAGCGGAACAACTTCCCATCACTGCTTTCTTTTGTGCCTCCTTGCCTCATTTTGAAAGCTCTGAGGCCACTGGACACGGGGTTGGCTGTGAGCCGTGCACACGAAGGTCTTTGGTATTTAGATCCACACACCTGGAGCGGCCGAGACGCACAATGAGAGTCAACACCCTCTCTGGCCTCTTTCTGGAGCTGCCACGGCGGCTTTGACATCAGGCGAGGTCCGTGTTCCTCCTGGAATTCGGCCTCCGACCATCGCTCTTCAGGCTGCATCTGCCATGATGCGCTCAGTTTCGCAGGGCTGCCCCGTTATACGATGGCGAGGCAATGCGAGACCTCTTGCCTGGACAAGAGCTGTTGCTGAATTACAACTTGTTCGTTCCCCAGACCTTCTAAGCCCGGTGCAAGTGCTGCTGTGGCTGGTTGATCCCAGGCGACGCCCGCATCCAGCCTGGTACCATCCTTGCTGAGGGCGCAGGTCATGGACTTAGGAGGTTACTAGCACCATTAGTAAGCTGCAGTTTGCCTTCCCGGAGCGGGTATTGGCCATGCCAGAGATTGCCGCAGTTTGCCTCCCGAGCTCCCTCGTGTGAACAGTGATAGGATCGCAGCTAGAGCTTCACAGCATGCTGTCCCCCAACGCCCGTTCGCCTTTCCGCGCGCCCGCTCCGGCTGCTCAAGAGCATAAGTCTCAAGAGGAGTTGGAGACACTTCCTGCATCTCAAGTGCTTGGGGTTAGCACAGAGAACACGGAGGCCGCGCTGATTGGTGAGAACCAGCAGTTGAGAGCACAGCTGGCACGCGTACAAGAGCAACTAGCAGCGATGCGATCACGGCCACATGTAAGCGAGGATGACGAGGGACTGGGAAACTCCACGCAAGGTCTACTAGAGGACGTGCGCACAGAGATGGGAGCTCAACGAGCCCTTGAGATGCGGATGCTTGCAAAGGCCCAATACACGCAGAGCAAAGCCTTGACGCTTATGGAAGTCACACAGAAGACATTGATGGAAGCCTTGAAATTTCGCTTCGATCAGGAAGACATTCCATCGAAGCCTTCTGTGGCAGAGGTTGCTCGGCCTCTGGTGAAGCCAGGAGCGGTGCCTCGGAGAGGACAGACGCCGCCTCCCACGATGAAGAGAAAGCGTGCCTCAGAGTGCAATCCTGGCTCGGAGAGCAACCCGAAGCGTGGGGCCCGTCCCCCTTCCGTGGAGGCTCCCGCGCCGGAGTGCAATCCTGGATCGGAGAGCAACCCGAAGCGCAAGGCCCGTCCCCCTTCCGTGGAGGCTCCCGCACCGTTGCCACCTCCGTCATCACCACCAGAGGTGGATGAGGCTGGAACTCTGGTTCCCAGGAGCCTGAGCTTCATGAAGTGCATTCGCGTAGATGGAGAGGGCAATGAGGAGGAGCCTCCGAAATCGGATGAGGTTGCCTCCACGCCACTGGGGCGGCTGGGCGCGATCACCTCCCTTCAGAAGGGCTCACCCATACACTATCTATGCAGCCTCATCTACTGCCGATTCGCAGATTTGAAGCCGAGTGTATGGAAGGAGCAATACGAAGACTATGCCTCCAACGGCATGGACCTGATCAGCTCCAAGAGCATGTTTCGCGCTTTGTCGGCAGAAGATCTGATCGCTGTGCAGCGGGCTGCCGAAGAGATCGTCAACCCGCTGGTGTTGTCGATGCCGAATAAGGCGTATGGCATAGCTCACGGCAAGCAGGTCTCTCACGAGACCCGACGGGCATGGATGGACAGTGTCATGGAGATCTGGCCTCGTCCGCCACAGACCCCCCAGGAGATCCTGGACAAGGCCCGGAGGGGGGGGGGGGGGGGGGGCAAGGCTAGATACGGAGGGAATTCTGTGATCGGCGATTCCCGGGGATCGATCGGCGATCACTGCACTTTGCCCCGGGGATCGCCGATCGCGGGGGAGCCGGGGATCGCTTTCCTCGAGAGGGGTTCTTCGGGGATCGCTGATCGCACCCCCTGTGCGTCGCAGAGGTGATCAGCGTGCCTGCGTGTGGCGCGGACCGGTGATCGGCAGACAATTTACTCTTGGTGTACTGTAACCTAGCCCCCCTTAAACCTGAAACCCGAGCTCCCCCTCTGCTGTATCTCAGGTTTGTTGCATTGCCACATCCACCACTTGATCAAGCCGCACGCCATCCTCTATATGAGGGACATGACCAGGGGCACCAACTACACGCAGATCCTTAATCATCTTCGCCAGCTTTTGATGAAGCTGCAGATGCCGGTGACTCCTTATGGATTGGCGATCTTCGCGAACAAACTGCTGTGCCACTTCAGCCAGGGGTGGAGTGCATGTGTGCACGTGTTGCACGGATGCAGTGAGGACGGAACCCAGAGCGTCATCAAGGTGGGGGTCACTCGCTTCTGCCGTATTTCAGAACGCAGTCTGGGCTATGCACGGACCGCCTTGGCCCACGGCTACAGCATACAGCACTTGGTACGTGTCCTACGGTGTACAGAGGACTGGTTGGCCAGGCGCATCGAGGAGCGAGTACACGTCTTGCTCACCGATCTTCGCCCTGAATATAGAGGCTTCGCTAACGAATGGTACTCTTATCAGGCGCTCGATGACATCCACTCCTTGCTCGATGAGTGTCAATCCATGACACTCGAGCAATGGAAGGAGGAGGACCGCTGTGGCGAATGCATCACCAAAGTCTTGCAGTGATGCTCGACCGCTCCAGATCCGGAAAAGAAAAGCGATTGGCAATGCATCGGTGAGTGTGTGTACCAGGCTGTTACTGCTACTGCTACTGTGGTCGTGCATGCATCGGTGAGTGTGTGTAGCTGTGGTCGTGCATGCATCGGTGAGTGTGTGTACCGTCGACGTACCTGAGGTCAACAATTTGTTGTACGCCGCGCATGGCCGTTACCATCCTGTAGATACCGTCGACTAGTCGTGGTGCCTACAGCTGGTCAGCTCCGATCTGAATATGCTGCGATGGAGATCTCCGTGGACGAGATCAAGCGCTCCCTGGAGCTCGTCCAGCGCTGGTCTCTCGTGCCACGGCGGTGGTGCTGTGCACTCCATGACTCCGCAAAGCCCTGGAAAAGCAAGTGCCAGGTAGTACGTGCGCGTCTTTGCGATTCCATGCCAACTCCTGTAGACGAGGCTTCTTTGATCTTCTTTGTCAATGTACGGCAGGTGTAAAGTTCCTGCGCAATCTCAGTGACCAGCTCGCGGGCCGGACCTGCACAGCGTGAAGTGCTCCCACTCCCTCTCCCTCCCTCCCGCCCCCAAAAGCGCCAAGGGTCGAAGTCCTGCGATGCCACAGGTGAAGAGATGCTCTCATCGAAAGAACTCACCATGCTGATAGACCAGACGAGGACCCAGCCCAAACTCAAATTTATGTGCGATGTTGCTGCGGCAGTCCGAGGGACATGGCACTGCCTCGAACAGGACTTCTCTGCTTGAAGGTGCAGTCTGGGCAAAACTGCGGCGAACAATCAACAAGGTCTTGTCGCATTCGGCAGGTTCTATAGGAGCAATCATCACCTGCACCTCGCTTGTAGGATCGCCTTACAGTGGTGTCTGGGACCTTCCATCGCACCGTTCCCAGCCCGGGGTGCAGGTCATCCAGATTGCAGCGACAGCAGAAAGAGTCTAGAGTCTACAGGTTGCACCCACAAAGCGGCCTTGTTGAAGAAAGGCTGTGGAGGCTGGGCCGGCTGGGAGTTTGGCGACAGTGCCGCGTTTGAGTCGTGCAGCGGGCACGGGAGGCGGAACTATAATTGTGCCCTGGAGCTCCATCCATGGCGACGAGGATATTTTCCAGAGTAGACTCAGGTGAGAGAGACCGCAGCGACTGGCGGCACAGGACTTGAAAGTCGTCTGGCTGCCATTGGAAGCTTGCGAGGCCTGTTTGGGGCGAAGCTGTGGCTTGAGCTACGAGTGGGTTCGAAGCGGCTAAAGGCTTGAGCTACGAGTGGGTTCGAAGCGGCTAAAGTGTCAGGCGCTGGCTTTGCCGCACAAGCCGTGGTCTAGCAAGTCGGACGCTTTGCCTTTAGAGTCTTTGGCCTGCACCTTAAAACGCCGTAAACTCGCTAGGCTTCGCCGTTTGCTCAAGCTGGGATCCGGCTCGGCGTTGGCCCTAACTCGCAGAAATTGCATCCGTGCTTGCCCGCACGCTTTCTGGTAGGCTCCTGCTGCTCGTGGAGGCGAGGCCCATCTGCGGTTCCGACGAAACTCTCTTCATGCGCTTGTGGGAGTCATGACCGTCCCCGCGACACGTACAGGAAAATCGAAGCGGCTTGCTGAAGGATTGTCCAAGACACGCAGCACAGCGCTCGTGCAATAACTGCTTCTTCTCGTCTTATCTTGACATGTCGCAGCAAAGAATATATGAAAAAGATATTTGAGACTCTCCCTTAGGCTCCGCTTCCGCTTCGCACAGCACCGTGCCAAGGAGTGGAAATTCGCCTTGATCAAGTCTTTCTGATTGCTCAGACTCCCAGAGTCTCTGTTCAGGAGGAAATCTCAGCGGCAGAAAGCAAGTTCGCCCCGTCCCACTCCGGGCACAAAAAGGCTTGACAAGTGCATACCGCAGTACTTTCGAAGCCGAAGCTGGTGACTTTACATTTCCAGGTCGGCCCCCCCATCCGGCGAAAATTCGCTGGGCAAAGGCAAGCCGGAGTTGCACACTCATGCCATCTCATGCCCATGCACATACATGAACCACAGTGTTAGCGCCTATCAGTGACAGACATGTCCACGCTCCACACCAGGTAACTTAACGGTTTCTGGTCTTTAGTGCGTGGTCTGGTTTGCGCTTCTCACACCAAGGCGTCGATTCGTTACTCCAGTATCGCCCCAAGACATGCCAGGCAACAGGCATCAGCTTCTGCTAGCAGATTTGGAGAATATGCTGACGTACTCGTACTGACTTGAAGCTGCGCAAGTGTCCATGATCTACTTCCAATTGAGGATGGCGGGCAACCGACGTAAAGTGCAGGCAGGGATTTGAGGCAGAGAACCGCTCGTCTATGGCCTGTCCCAGGGTTTGCAGGTTGGTGCTCAGCCGCCAGTCCTAGCACTCGAAGATGCTTCGGCGACCGGAGTCAACCAGGATACCCAGGGTCTTATGGCAAGGAACTTGGAGCCGTCCCAATGGCTACTTGTTTGGGAGCACTTTTCCGTTTTGCAGGAGCCGGTCGCGCCTCGAGGCTGGAAGCCTCCATACGATGCCCTGCTGTTCTCTGCTTCCGGCCTGGCAGGTCGAAGGTGTGGTGGACTCGCTGCGATGCTCGAAAGGCTTCAGCCTTTGACTCTGGAACTCAGGGGCGAAAAAGGAGCGTGTGACTGGTTCTTTAAGTCTTGACGGCTTCTCAACCCACAGGTTCGTGCCAATGGCGGCAGCATCCACAGCCAGGTCTTTTGCCTCAGTGTTCCCGCGGCCGCAATGCTTGTGTTGTGTTGGCACCGCTCAGATTAATGCAAGTTTGTACCAGCAGCTTGAAGCGGGGCCCAGTCGAAGCTTTTTAAAGGTGACTCCCACATGCCGTGTCTTGTTTTTGTTGCATAAGCTGTGCAGACAGTTTACTCGCGGAGTGGGCAAGCTCAAGACATTTACAGGCCTTTCGGCTTGCCGTCACCCTTCTGTCAAACAACTCAGGACAGCGGCTGACATCTTTGGTGGTTTCTGTTGTGCGGTTGTTGGATGTTGTTGTTTTGAGCGGCAAAGCTTTCCAAACCTACCGATGAGGAAACGGCTTGCATGTGGACAAAGATCCGGTTCGTTTCCCAAGCATGGGCAAGCAGCGAACAGTCTAGAAGCGGTATTGAGCAACAGGAGCTTGGGCGGAGAGCGATCGTGGAAGGAATCAGGGATCGCAGTCCTGAGGGGTGTGGGAAGCCTTGTGCCCTGTATGAGACTTGGTGTCCTCTTGCTAGGATCTGTTGATATCTATTGGTCATGTTTCCGCCGTCCAGGTTGTTGAAAATAAACAAAACTGCCTGAGGCCGGCTGCGGCTTAAAACGACTTGTTGCCCGAAACTTCACGTTGCACGTCTTCCGCTTGCAGCGCTAATGGAGAGCTTGGTGCATGTTCAGCGACCAGCGACGGCTGGCTGCAAGTGAGGCTTCCTGACGCCGCTGACGCAAAGCCGTCAGTGGAGGAGCCTCGGCAGGACGCGCGAAAGGGGGCAAAGCCACTTCGAAGCAAAGTATTGGGGGCATGGCTGTGTAACTCAGAGCTTTCCAACGTAGGACGGATACCATCCGAGCAGCTTATTTCCACGCTTGCTGTTTTTGACTCAGCTGAGTCAACCAGGATACCCAGGGTCTTATGGCAAGGAACTTGGAGCCGTCCCAATGGCTACTTGTTTGGGAGCACTTTTCCGTTTTGCAGGAGCCGGTCGCGCCTCGAGGCTGGAAGCCTCCATACGATGCCCTGCTGTTCTCTGCTTCCGGCCTGGCAGGTCGAAGGCGTGGTGGACTCGCTGCGATGCTCGAAAGGCTTCAGCCTTTGACTCTGGAACTCAGGGGCGAAAAAGGAGCGTGTGACTGGTTCTTTAAGTCTTGACGGCTTCTCGTCCACAACCAGGTCTTGAGAGATTTTTTTTTTGCAAGCTTTTGGCTCGGACTCTTTAGCTTTCGCCAGTTGTAGCCATACCGGAGACCATATAAGGTTTTCAGACATGGGCTGCGGCGGCAGCTGTCCACACACGGCTATGCAACCTGTCTCGTGGAGTGCTCGGAAGCCTGTGCGCGTCAGTCCAGAAGGTGCCGTACGCGCTCCAGACCAAGCCATCCACAATCTCTATGTCAAGGAGCTCAACATGTACCTTAACAAGATCAACAGAAAGCCTGACAAGTTCAAGATGGCGGTCCAGATGCGCAAAATCGAGGCGTGCTTAAGTGAATGCAGTTCAGAGAACTCGAATCACAAGTCCAAGCGCCGGGATGACACCTGTTGGGATGCAGCTTGGCTCTCGATCCTTACCGATGAGATCGGAGATTGAACTCAATTTTGTCGTCTCCATTCCTCACCAACGCTGATGCCGTGGAGCGTTCAATCTATCTACTCCATGTATTTCCAGTTCCTGAGATCCTGTTCCCGGAGACTGAACAAAGGCGCATGCTCAGTTCTAGAGTCGGGCATTCTGCAGGTTTAAATCATTTCGTGCCGTCTGTGTGGTAATGTGTTCTATCTGAAGAGGTCGGGTCAGTATTGTGGTTGCTGATGCCTTGCTCACGGCACAAAATTTTCGCGGCCAGAGCTGGGCTTTTTGGCCCACATGTTTGGAGAACCCATGTAAGGCAGATTAAGGCAGCTTGACGACAAAGTGCAGCTCAGGCCAAACTGAATGTTTCTGAAGATCAACTGCTGGACCCTCGCTATTTCGGGTCCCCTAATTGGCTCACATCTGAGCTGGATTCGAGCGGTGACCTGGAAAATCTGTTTCACAACTTCCATGCGTTGCTCCTCAATGCTATGTCACGGTGCCTTGTCCACTCCAATCTTGTCCTGTCACACGTTCGGGGGCATTGAGCTTCTTTGACCTTGCCATGCCGAGTTGCTCCATCCGCTGTGAGCATATGCCCGGACTGCCCGGAAGCTCAAGAAGCCCTCGGACCTGACAGGCGCTTCTTGCGAGCAGATTTGCAAACTGCTCCCATTTCAAGGGGCAGCGTGAATTGGCCCCCGATAAACCGCGATGACCCTAGCTCGGTCATCATTAGCAGTAGCACCCACCAGGTGTTCTTGCCATTGAGGCCCACACGACCACATAAGCATGTGCCTCCTGTTGGGGGAGATAGCAACTAGCTGCTCGTAGTGTAAATTACGTGAATCGTTTGGGTTCCGTGTTTGATCAGGTCGTTTGGGCATCTAGGCGCGAGTTGTATGCTACGTGTGTGACTTTGTGACACAAGCACAGAGAAAATGTTCGAGCTGGGGTTTGCTAGGAGCTGCTAGTGTTGTGTGATGAGGTGTCGGCACAAAGATTTCGGCGCTTTCACAGGTACAGGGCCGGGCTGAGTGCTTGCACGGACACAGGGGCAAGGTCCTTATGTATTTTGGAACATTGACGGCTTCTTCAGCCCCAGACAGACATCGTATAGCTGTGAACACAGCTCAGGTGGAAATTCCAATCACGCGGTGGGACATTTCAGTTTACTACTGTGAAGACCCGGATGAGGCTCAGGCGGGGCCCTGCACTTCGTGGTTGCCATGCTTCTGGTGTCTCTCCGTACCGCCTGTGCAGCCTTTCCAATCGGTGGTCAAGCACCAGTCGTGACCCTGCCCATGATTCATTGCGGCTCTGTCAGACTTGAGTGCAACATGAACGCACATGTTTGCATTGGTGAAATTCGGCCCACCGTGTGAATTGTGGACAAGATTGTCGTAGAACGCCAGTGACAGGTACGTCGAGGGTATCGAACTTTTTGACCACAAGTACTTCCAAATTGCCATCAACGAGGCAGGGCCGTGGGTGCTGGGACTCACTTCCTGCTGATCGATGCCTACTTGTAAGTATTCCATGACACCTCCACCCAGAATCCAAAGAAAGAACAATCCGAATCAAAGCCGTGCAGCCATCTGTGCAGAGGCACGTGGTATGGACCCCATGCAGCGGCATGTGCTCGAGGCAGCACGGCCGACGTAGTCCATGAGACACCCATTGTCTTTGTGGTGGGACATTCCATGCAGGTCGGTGCTCAGAACCTCTTCAAGATGGGGACCGACCTTTGCTAAGATTGCACCGTCGCCCTTAACTTTGGGAGCTGCGCTTGCGTCCTTTGAGAGCGAGCCTCGCCCTGCTGCATTTCAGCTGCGAAGTCTTCTGTGGGCAGGATCACGAAAGATATAGCAAGCCGCTTTCCTGGCTGGGTTTGGGAACCCTTGGCTCAGCCAATGTTTGGCCAAGACAGTGTTGTAGTCTTGTTTGGCGCATGCCAGGAACTCCGCATCATGCTGGCGTGTCTGTTGGCCTGGATAAGGACTTCGAAGCTGCAATCATTTCGAAATGCCTGCGGGAGATGCCAAGAGCTATCGGACACTCCAGGATGACTACGACTCACTCCCTAAGACTCCTGAGCTGTGCCAGCCTTACAACAGCCCCTTCGATAGCATCCTCTTTCGAGCGCAAAAGCCAGGCAAGGCTCGGCCAACGTCCAAGCCATCATTGCAAACCGCTTCAGCTTCATCTTCAACCTCAAAGGCGCCTGTTGACATTCCCGCGGCGCCGAAGATTCACATGTTAAGAGGTCCAAATTATGTTGCTGACACCGCTTGCTCGGCTTCGCTCACAGCCACGCATCTGGTCTACGGCTTACTTTGGTGCCAAGATGTGAGTGCGCGATGCTGCAATGGTGGCATCTTCAACTACAGCCTCTGCTTGTTGCGTGACCCTGAATTGAGGCCAAGTTCATGCTCAGAGATCAGACGCACGCATCCCAGTCTGTCTCGCAGTACTGCGCTTGATGCAAAACGTCAGGTCCAGCACCCTGTAGTCGAATGTCATAGCCGTGGCCTGCGCGGGTGTGTACAACGGATTTCCAGGATAGACAAGATTGAGTTCCATATCGCTCTTGGTATTCATCAGTGCTTGTCGCGGCGGCCTTACCTCGCGGATTAGCAGAGGGCAATGCAGCCGACTTGCTGAATCGACGGCGGGCTTGCCAGCCAGGCCATTCCCTTTCGTGGGCAGCTCACAGACCCACATGACCTCTGCACCTCGGCTACTCTCTGGACTGCCGGACTCAATGTGTATTTAGGCTTAGTGTCAGTTGGTCTTGACTGTGGATAATTGCCACACCGGCCACAGGCGCGATGCCGTACGTTCAATGCTACAGCTGGTGGCTACATGCGTGGTGATGGCTGCCGGGGTCTCAGGCAGGGACGGAGGCGGAGGGTGCACTCTTTCGACTTGTGCGAGGCAGTGGCCTGACGCTGAAGCCTGGCGACTTGCCAGACGAGCGCGATGCCATCTGGCGCGGCTCCATGGCCACGGCCCCGTGGCCCCGCAGAGACTCACGGCTTCTTCTCTTCTCTTCTTTACCGCGGTCCTGCGGTCTTGTCTCGGCATTGTGGCATGGTCAGGTCGGTCAAAACGGCAAGTCAGCTACTCTCACAGCCCCGAATGGCTTCCCCGGCTGGACCTAGCCATCCCGCGCCCGTGCCCGCTTGCCCGCGTGCCAGCCAGGCATCTCGCAAGAGGAAGTTATCTGGAAAGCCATCCGAGAGGCTGCCTTTTCATGTAAGCGTGCCTTTGTAAGACTGCCTGTTCTCAGAGGCCAAGATCTCTCCGACAGAGTCTGCCTCCGAAGATTTGTTGTAACGCCTCAGATCAGCTCGGGCTGACTGCACTGGAGTCAGACTCAGGTCCTGTGTCTGGAGCTGCCACGGAACAGGGACCTCGCTAGGCAGCTTTGCTGAAACTTTACTGCTTAAAGGTCTCGGGTAACAAAGAAGAGGTTCGGAGGTTGACTGAGCATAAGGCGATCCCATCGAAGTCGGCGCAGTTCGCAAGATTCAGAACAAGGCAACGTGCGGGTGCCATGTGAGGCCGCAGGCCGCATGCAGCCTTTCTGCCTATTGTACATGTTCAGGAGCAGCGGGACACAACGCTACTTGTCGTCACGAACAAGTCACAAACTGGGCATTTGGAAGGCTCTTGTGCTGCGCTTGCTGCGAGAGCCTCTCATGGCTGTGCTCACTCCAGTCGTTCCTGTCACGCGCAGGTGGAGCTGCCATGACCTCTTTGCTGGCAGCAGTATTTCAGGCAGGACTGATTGCTTCAGGAAACAGAATCTGGTTAGTTTTCTCATTGCTTGCATCCGTGACGAGTCCAGCAGCATAATCCTATGCATGCACTAGGTGAAGGCTTCGTCTGCGATACCCTGCTGCCACTTACGTCAGCTGAATCCGTTGTGGATCCCAGAACAACTGGACGGTGGATGCGTGTCGCTTAACCCTACATCTTTATGAACATACTGCTGAGGCATTTGGACCAGACCAATTTCAATGCAGTGTTCAACAGCGAGTTGAACTCCTATCAGTACTCACAGGCAGACTTTTCAAGGCATATATTTTTGGATCTGTGTGACGAATCTGCCCGAGTTTTGCACCAGGGCAACGTGCACGTCTCTTCCTTCGGCTTCGGTCGCACAGACTTGTTTCTGAGGTTCCCCTCGCACCCCTGCAGTTTGCAGCACGCCAGGTGGCACAAATGCCCACGCCATCTTCTGGGGAGAGAACGTTTACCATGCCTCTCGGTATCAAACTGCAGGGCTGGGTACAGTGCGCTATGCAAAGTATGTTCCGGAACGGGTGGAGGACTCCCTCCTTCTGCAAGATCCGAGCGGGAGTTTGAGATTAGACGGTGGAGCTTTCCCTTCGGGGGAAGTGCCAGGGTGGTCAGTCTCAAGACACGAGGCACCAAGCAATGCAGAGCTCTACCAGAAACGCATCTGGACTGCGTGCAGGGTGGTGCTACTCCTGTGCTAGCTCCCGCCGGTTGTTCATCCACCGAGATTGCGTTTGCCGGGAGGAGCATGTCGCCACCCGAAGTGAGGGTCAATGGCTTGTCCCTCAGACTTAGCCCATCGAAGTACAGTTGTGACGAAACAGGGCAAAACTGTGCGGGGCTTTCCAAATTATGAAGCCAGGAAGTGACCCTGCTTTGTGGGATTGGGACGGCCCGGACCAGGCCAGAGCGCCAAGCTGATGCCTGATGCTCGCGGAAGGTGAGTGCGTCCTGTAAGGTGATTCTCCCAGGGGACAAGTACTCTATCGAAATGAATCCTGACGATCCACCCAACGCTCCGCAGCGGTGGTTCAAGGAGGCACGGCCCGAATCTTCTCGCAGTTCTGCCATTTTATGCGAGATCGGCTCTGTGCACTGCAGGACACCGGGGTCGAGCATGACGAGGGCGAGGATGAGGTCTACTGCCTCACAGGCACATCTTCGTTCACTGCTTGAGCTCTTGAACACATCCCAGCAAGTTCATGCGTCGAATCAGAGGCCCTTTCAATGAGTGGGATCTTGAGCAGATGGAGGCCATTGATTGGTACAAGTCAAAGACTTCTAGATTCTTGAATACTGCAGCGGCATCTAGATCCGTCTGGTGTTGCCTTGCCAGGACGGACCAGTTCCGGGTCTCTGGACCCTAACGGTTGGCCCCCGGCTGGAACATGAAAAGTTTTTTGAGTATCCGTGCAGCTGAGGTCAAGGTCCCCAGCAGTGGGCAGGTGGAGTTCCGCATCCTGAGGAATGGGAACGAAGACGAGGCAAAATCCGCCACCTATCCTGCGAGTTTTGCTGATGTCACGGCTTCAGTTCCAACAGGTCATCTATCCTGATATGGACAAGTGCTCTCAAAAGCTCACGCCCATTCATGTGCCTTTGCGTCAGCTTGAGGGTGCAGACTCTGTCTCCATGTGCAGTTTCGCGTTGAGCACTTGCATGCACGGAGCAGGGGCCCTCGAAAGATGATCAGAGGAACGCCAAGAACACTTGGCTCGCCGAAGGAATTCCAGCCGAGACCCCGGACAGGATGTACTTTGTCCGAGCATGTTTGCTCTTCATGTTGGCACAGAATTTGCTCATGCCAAGCCAGCACGGGTGTTGTGAGGGCTCCAGCATCAAAGTCGATTTCTTTAGTTGCAGAGGCCCTGCTCTCAGGCAGATCTCAGACGGAATAATTATCGAGTACAGTAACTGTCAAGTAACTGCTTTGGGAACCATTGCTGAGGAATCCGCAGCATCAACTGGATGCAGGCCACCCCTGTGCTTATGCGCTTGCCTTGGCTTCCGTCGCGACCTGCGGCGTCGGCTGTTCTGTTTCGCCATGATGCACGTGGACCGCCCAGGTGAGGAACTACATCTTAGCTTGCGAGGGTTGCAGCGCTGCCCCTTACTCACCACCTTTAACACATGTCTTCCGACTGACAGTAGACTTTGGAGCCAGACTGCGCAGAAATGACAGCAGTCGGATCCCAAGTGCATACGGAATGTGGGACAGACTCGACAATCTGCTCAAGCCGTAGAATTCCGTCATGTCCCACAGTCCCTTGCATTGCTAGGGTCAAGCCCTTTCGCAGCGCTCGCCTCGGAGATGATGCGGCTATGTGGAAAAGTGTTTCAGCTTCCAGTGAGTGCTGGCTTCTAAACTCTGAGTGGCACGTTCTCTGAGAACGCCCACGAGACAACGCCTCCTGTCGACACTGCCGGATTTGGCGGAACTAGCGAGCTCAAGCACAGCTAGTGTCTCATGCCAGCACGCTATAGGTGATCTGAACAGAACAGCTGTACGTGCACAGAGGTGCTCCTGAACACTGGTATGAAGATTTGAGAGGAAACTCGCGGCGTTTCTGCTGAAACTCCAGTTTACCAAAGTGAAGTTCACAGCCAGCTGGAGGGTGCTATGGCGCACCTTGGTCGGGCTAAGCTCCAGAGTGCGGGTTGAGGCTTTGCTTCGCAGTTACAGCAGGGCGTGCAGCACAGTGTCGCCTTGGACAGGACATGGTGAAGCAGAGGCTGGAGACTGAGCATTTCGCATTTTGTGCTGTTACTGGGACATACTGGAAGTGTCCTCGATGCAACAGGCGTGCGAAGCGCGACTCCGATCAGGTCTTGACCTTCGACCCGGCAAGCAGGCGTGCGAAGCGAGTCTCGCGTGCCTGCACTGGCATGCGCAAGCGCAGTTCTGAGATTTGCAGGCAGTCTTTCCTTGCCGGTTTTCGCAAAAGGAAGCAGGACCCGCATTAAACTGCGGTGCTGTCTCCCAGAACAGCATCTGAAACAGTTTGCAGCCCAGGCTTCAACAGTAAGAGCATCAGGGTATTTGTGTTACGCAGACGGTGCAAGTTAAGTGCAACAGCTTGGACGTCCTTCATGCCCACAGCATCAACGTTTGTCGTAGTTTTGCACCGACACGCATGATGCTCGCTGCATCGTGTCACTCTCGTGGGAGGTAAACCAGGTTTTTACTGTTGCAGCCTGGGCCTTGCGTGAGCGCATGCGAACGGATTGGTGACGGACTCGCCGGCTGCTCCAGAAAACCAGACACTGTTCCACATCAGGATCGCAGGAAGTGGGCCGTGCGTGAGATACTGGAGAAAGAGCGGCAGGAGAAAGTTTCTACTCTTGGCGACGGATGGTGCCTCCTGCCTCCTCTCTCTTGGTCTTTCGGTCCTTCGCCTTCGCAGGACCGCATCGAAGCGAAGAAGGACCACAGGCAGGACGTGAAGCAACGCTGGAAGGACGTGCTTGAAGCGGGAGGCTGCCCAACCTGAGTTCAACTCGCACCTTTTTGCATCCTCCGAGGATCTCCAGCGTGCGGAAAAGCGGGTGGAGGCGCTCCTGGGCCCGGCAGAGGACTGGACGACAAAAGCTCAAGGCTCACATAGGCTCACAGGCTCTTTGGCCTCTCTGTCGCCTTGTGAGTCTTGTGGCTCATCAGGAGGTTGGCTGGCTCGGAGACCTCCGTTCTGAAAAGCTCAAGGACGAGGAGGCGCTCCAGCAACTCAGGCACTGTGCGGCCAGAAGTGCAACACATGGCAAGCGGCAGGTTCCTGTAACGGTTGCTTTCGAAGCAGAGGCCTGCAGACAGACAGTGCCACGGAGTCAAAGCCATCCTTACTGGCTGTGTCTTTGAAGGAAGACGATCCCTTTGGGGACTGCGAAGTTACAACTACCATCGCGGGAGCAGAGTGACTAAGCTTTTTCGCAGTCTTTGTGGCATCCATGACTTCCATGCACCCTGTGCAGACTGAGAGTTCAGATGCCACAGGTGTCTGATGGGGCTGGTAGGCAACGGCCTCGAGGCTTGAAATGCTGTCACTTCCAGCCAGGGTCATTCCGCTCAGGCACCTTCCTCTGGCCTTGGTTGGGAAGAGTGGCAACGCCATTTCCGTGCTTGGAGGCGACCGAGACTCTGCGATTCCATGCGTGTGGCGTGTGCTGGCCATGACCCAGGACAGGCCGGACTCCTCCGGGACTTGACAGGTATCCCACAGGACCGCTCGAGCTGTCCTAGCATTTCACGCTAACGCATCGGCTTCTGAGATCGAGGAAGATCCGCAAGCCAGATCGAAGAGGCAGTTTGGGATTGGCAGTTCCCAGGCAATGAATGCAGTGCAATTGCTTTCTCGAGGCGGTTCATTTCAAGTGAGAAAGAGGAGAGTCGCCGACAGACAGCTCTGGACAAGACCGTGTCGCTGCTTGGATTTCACCAGCACACATCCCAGGAGCCAGTCGGAAACGGCAGTTCTCGTTTGTTGGCTGGAGGAAAAAGCTGAACACCAAGAACCAGGGCCCCAAGAAGAAGAGTAAGCGGGCTAAGGCCACGTCAAGTCCACGGGCCAAGTGGCCCTGAAGTCTCGTCTCCGACTCTCTGCACAGGGCTCCAAGCAAGGCAAGCGCGGGAAGCCCAGCGTCAAAGGGGCCTTGCATCACAGCCTTGCTCTGATAATCTTGGCTTTGGGTGCTGGGATGCAGAGGCCCAGTCGGCCGGAAGGAGCGGCGAAAGCGGATGAAGAGACGATGAAAACACGCTCGGCAGCTCCTTTCCAGTTTGAAGCCGCCGGTAGTACTTTACCAGTACCACTGCAAGGATACGCCTTCCGTGCCTCGATCTCCCGTGCAGCTCGCATAGCGGCAAAACATCATTCATACGCTCGTTTGACTTTAGGCAAGACCCTAGTCAGCGAGGCTCTAGGCTTTAAGCTTCCGACGGCTTGAGGGTTGACATGGGTCGGTGCTCGCAGAGTTCGATGCAAAGACCGTGGCCAAACAGGTCTGCATTTGCACACAGGACCAACATTCCTCGATCGGATTCCCTGCTTGATAGCGCTCGCTGAACGTGTGACTATGCACCGGCCGAAGAGAGCGCCGCCTGCGCCCAGCGTCGCCCTCAGCCTGGTGAGAGAGCATATGATCTTGCAGCATCAACAAAGTGAGGCTTGCAGGAATGGCTGCAAGGTCCGGAGCTGGAGGAGTATCCGACGCTTGGCTCGTGCCTATAGTGACTATAGTGCAGATGGCTCTGAGAGGACGAGGCATCCCATCCTGATCTAAGGACCGCGGTCAAGCTCGTGACCAGTCCGAACTCTCCGCGTCTTATTTCGCACTTAACTTTGCAGCGTTGCGTGGTTTGGGGTCGGCAAAAGGCTGGTCTCGCAGTCCAGGCTTTGTGCTGTCGCTGCGAGGCACTACAAAGAGTTCTTGGCAGAAGCTGCCGAGGCATGGCTAGCTGAAGCCTAAGGAGCACATTCTCCCGAGAACTGTAGCTGCTACAGCTGGCGCATGCTGACGCCGAGGTCGCCTATGACATTCAGTGGACTCCGGACTTCGAGGAGGGCAGTGACAATCCAGTGGCGACTCAGCTTGACCCCCATGAGCAGCCACAGACCGTGAAAGTCATGCTTTTGAAGGGTCTTCGGTCTTTGGGTTCTGCAAGCAGGCAGTTGGAACGTGAGGCCGGTTCCAGGAGTCTCGGGTCTTGCAAACAGCACCGAAACATGCTGAGCTGGAACGGATAATAAGTTTCACTGGGTCGATCCTGGTTGGTAAGAGGTATGAGATCAGGCAGGGAGTCTCAGCCGGTCAGCTTTCACTGTTTCAGCTTTGCCCGTTTCAGGCACTTCTGCAGCTGGCATTTCCAAGCTCTGGTTGCTCACTCAGAGTTCACAAACTCGGGAAGCTGATGATCTTGTCGTGACGGAGGAAATACGTACGTCTTGCAGCTTCCTCTTCTCGGGAGCTTTCCGAGCAGAGCGAAGCACCTCTTTCAGAGCGGAGTTCCCAGAGCAGCGCGGCGGCCCCTTTTGACCTAGACCACAAGACGTTGAGGTCCCGCGGTGTTGGCCGTCGGCTTTGCCGCCAATGCGATGGACAAGCACAAGCTGGAGATCTCCGGAGTGCAGGCAAGGGGCTTCGAGGACTGAGAACAAGTATTTTAGTGTTCCTTTCTGCAGAGTTGTTGTTCGCTTCCGTGTTGCTGCTGGTCCACTGCAGGTTGCTCTCTTTGTATGTCGGTTGGCAGCCCTTCCGTCAGTCTGTGATAGTGGGTGGGTCCGTCGGTCTGCGCCTGACTCGGTCCCCCGGCTTGTGCACCCTTGCATGGCGGGGGACAGAGGTGACCGATTGATTTCGGTTTCGAGTTCAGGGTACAGGGATTGCGGGTTCCCCCCCACCCAAGCTCGATGGACCAAATATTGCGATCCATTGTGATCCTTATTCGGAGAACCCCCAACACAGGGTACCCCGGTTCTCGGAAGGTCGACGAGGACACTTTCATCGATGTCAGAGCCTCGGGTACTGGCAGAGGTCACCGTCTGAGCCGCAGCGGGCTGCGAGCATCCGCGCTCGCCTCGCTGTGAGGTGCAGCCTTGGTGTGAAGCCGAAATGGGCGAGAACGCCAGCGTCCGACAGGGCTGGCGAGTGGGTGGAGGGCCGAGGATGAGGTTCAGAGTCTGCCCTGAGCAGCTCTTTGAGAGGGCTCCGTCCGCTCTTCTGCATCGAGGTCTCAAGCGGGCGGCATGCTGCGTACTGGATTTTGCGAGCTTGGCTTGCTTTGCAAGATCATTTCGCAGCCTGTCTTAGAAAAAATTGGCCAGTAACAGGACATGGACAAGAGCAACACGATTGCGCTGCAGCCTAAGCTGGTCAGTAGATGCCTGGATTTTAGAAGCCGTAAAGGCTGAGAGGCTGACTGCCGGAATCTCTGCTTGAGGTCGTCAAACTGGAACCGGCAAGAGCTTACATCTGCTCAGGCCTCTTTCTCGATGCCTTGTGCTGCTGTTCTTCCTCGGGCCTGTTTGCTTCGGCTGTCGCGTAGGTCGAATATGCCGCAATGGATGTTTGGGTGGCACTGCGGCTCTATCAGCAGCAGCTCATCTAAATGCCGTCACGCTTCAATTTATGTAATGGTGTACATAATGCAGAGAGCCATAGAGAGCCGTTCGAATCCAGCCAGAGAGTAAGCAACCCGAGAAATTCAGGCTTGCCCCAGTTTACGGGACAGCTGATGCGTCTTGCCTGCAAGCCAGCCTTCGACTGCCTCCTCCGTGATTCCAGTGATTCCAGTGATTCCAGTTTTCAGGAGTCCTCCAAGCGGCCAAAGACAGCCGAAGACTGGGACTTCTGGAGCTGAGCCGGGTTTCCTTGAGCGAGAAATTTGTTCGGCTCAGGGTCTTGCCAGGAAGGTACTTGTAGTGTAGGATGAAATAAGCGAAACAGAGGGACGCTTCCTGCACCTTTTGGCTCGAAGATGCAGAGATGGAGTGCAAGGGTCCAGTGACAATGTGATGGCCACAGAGGGTGCATCTCCCAGAGCGTCAGGAGATGTTTTTGGGTCGCTTACAGACGAAGAAATGGCAATGTCAGCAAAAGCTTACGGACCGGACGTGTTGCATGTGCTGAAGTCTGCCAAAATGCTCAAGCTGCCACCGACAACCGACTGAGGCCGCTCTGTCAGGGCGATGGCCACTCGCAGAGACAGATGTGGAGAAGCGGGCCGAAGCGCATTTGCGTGGAACGGTTTGGCAGCGCTCACCGCAATCCACCTGCTCCAGCCTGTCATAGGCGCATCTGAGTAGATGCACAGGCTACTACAATAGTACTTAGAAGGCGCCTGTTGCAGTGCTCGGTTCAGAGAATTCTGCAAGACTTTCAGGAACAGTTGTGCCTGCAGCACCGCGGCCGACGGATTCACAGCCATGTGCCTGTCCGGACAGTGGGCTCTGCAGTGGGCTGTTTTAGAAGAATGCTGAATTGAGCTGTTGCTGATGCAGGACCCAATCTATGGTACCGACATTTGCTACGAGCCCGTCTGCCCGCCTGGATACTTCAGGCGAGTTCACGCACGAAGTCCCACCGGGCACTCACGCATCGACACATGTGCAGGTGTTGCGCAACCTGCTATGAAGCACCGTGCTATGGGCTGAAGAAAGACCTGCAGGCCAGGTTGTGACGTCAGCGTCCTTACATCGATGCCTCTACCGTGATCCCACCCCAAGATGAGATCGGCAGGAGGGCTAGAGGGAAAACTTCAGTAGAAGGAGCAGAAAACCAATAAGAGAGGGCTTTTGGGTGCCGAAGCAAACATTGGACTCCGCCGATGTGTCATCTTCAATTGCATGATGTTGTTGAAATCAAAGTTTCACAAGCACTGGCATCTTGTTCAACGTTAATCGCAACGGCCCGGGACGCACAAGTACTCCTCGAAAGGGCGAACAGGCCAAAGCTTGGTAGTCGTTTACAGAGACATAGCTAAGCGAAGCACGTGGTCAGCCGATCCCAAATCCAACCTCCGGAGAGGGTTCTGATTCTTGCTGGTTGTGTTGCATAATAATGTTACATGTATCATGTATGTGTATATATATATACAGTTATATACATATATAAGTAGAAATATAAACGAGTATGATATGGCTGTTATACATTGCCCACGATGTAAAGCTGCTTCTGATCAGCTGTCGTGGCGCGGCATCTACGAGTGCATCCTTTGCGAACCTGGCGACTACTGCGATGGATGTGACACCTTCGCACAGCTGGGGACTTGAGCCTCGGGGACTTCGGCACAGTTTTTTCCAGGCCCTGCGAAGCTGAGGTGTCCGGACAACACGCAAGCCAATCGAGAAGGACCTCGTGCCGCATTCCCAGGTCTGCCTGCACCCTCCCCCGTTGCCTGCGACCTCTCTCAGGTCTCCAACGCAGGATCGACTCGGATAGCTGACTGCGAGTCGTGCGCGGCAGGGATGCAGGTGGCGCAGTTCAAAGGTGTTCCAAATATCACCGAGAGGGAGACAACCCCAAGCCCTTGAGAGAGAGAGGGAGAGAGAGAACGAGAGAGGGAGGCGGGGGCATGAGTCCGACTGGCTCGGACTCGTTCTCCAGGCAAGTAAGAGAGAGAGACAGCAGAGAGCCCTGCTTTGCCTCGACAGTTCCACCGGAGGCTTTTGTGGTCATTTCTATTCAATGCTCTTAGAACGTACTGGTAACACTTCCAGACGATCCGGGGTATCGCTGACCTCAGCACCTTCGAACTTCGAACTTCTCACACAGATCGGCCAGTGCAGACGAAATGCGGCGAGCTCGAGACGAACCGTGAAAGCCAGCTGAAACAAGCGGAATCACCACTTACTTGTACAACTGATGTACCCAAACGTGCGAGGGCACGCGCGCATCGCAGGGAAAGCTTTACGACATAGTAAAACCCTGCAGTCCATGCAAGAAGAAAATTGGGAAACAGCACACATGCAAGTCAGCACCGAAGACCACCAACAGGCCGAAGCACGGACAGTAACGTACATAGCGGATCATATGGCCACCGTAACACGACATGACTTGTATGCGCCCTCAGCGCAGCCAACTGACGGTATCATCCTCTTGCAGTCATGTCAGTTCCGCACATGTTGCGATAACATGTGCTGTTTAGGCGTACGACTCCTAGCTATTCTGATGCCCATACACATGCCATACACTTAACTTGTCTTGTGTTTTACACCACTTGGGTGGGCCATCGGCCGGGGAGGGCCCTGGAGAGCGAGAGAGAGAGAGAGAGAGAGAGAGAGAGAGAGCCCCCTTTGCTTCCTCACCCGAACATACCGGAGCCCCACCACAGCACCACGACCACCAGTGCGGGGACCCCAGTTGTGTGGCGTTCCCCCTAGTTTTTGCGCTTGAACCTGTTCCCTTTACGTGCTTCCCCAGGGGGACCCGCACTGACACAAGCAACATAAGTGCCACTGAACCGACAACAGACCTAGGGGAAAAAAGGGATCATGTGTCACCCGGAGCTGCAAGCGGTCGCCCAGTTCGGCCTGTCAACTAGCACCTTTACCCGAGTAGAGTGTGCACTGAAGCCCGTGTAAGAACAGCTCGGGGACACAAGCAGAGGAGCCGTAGAAAACCGACGGATAACCTGCACCAACACACGCGAGCACGGCCAGGCGGGGGCTACAGTGTTGCACTAGGGGTCGTGAGTTGTACGGGAACTCCACCTGGCCTTGCCGCGTCACAAAGTCTCACACCGGACACGAACAGTGGCGTAGCGCTCGCGCGCAGGGGGTGTAGGGGCTGCCCCTACCTCCTACACGCCTTGCAAGCAAGCAAGCAAGCAAGCAAGAGAGAGAGAGAGAGAGAGAGAGAGAGAAAGGGCCGGAGAGATCTTCGGCGGCATTGCGACAGGCGAGCTTTCGCCGTGACAGATGTGTGGAGTCCTATTCCCACGTCTGCAACGAGGACCTTTCAGAGCTCTAGCCTCGCTGCAGCAGCTCGCGCGTTTTCTGGCGTCTGTCTGTGTCTGCAGGAATTTGTTCAGCGTTGTATCCGAAGCTGCAAGGCCCGCGCATCCTGGGTTTTTTTGAATTCGGGAGTTGCTGGACAGCTCTTTTGGCAGAGCCCTTCAATTCGAACCCGTGTTGTCTTGTCGTCGTGACATTCGGATATATTTGAAAACAGCTCAGCTGGGCATTGCGCACCCAGCTCCAAGATCTGCAACGCCGATGCTATTGATCTCCTGGATCTCCCGATATCCAAAGGATGGCCAGGTGTGACTTAGGCCAAGTGTTTCTGTGGAACATTCTCGATGAAGCCCAGAGCTGCCAGCGCTTTCCTTTTTCATCAATGTTTACATCGCCGCAATCTCTCGAGCTTTCACACTGACTTAGCTTTCGAGAGTGTCGCAGCATGCAGCTCAGACATGTTGAGGGCTGCATTCATTGGTTCTTCATGCACAGGCCGAGGAGCCCTCGCGGGGCAAAAAGCTGACCCCATGCGAGCAGATCAAGTGCGAGGCAAAGCGAAGAAACAGGGGGAGACCCAAACAATGCCTGCAGAGACGATGAGACGTTCGATGCCTGCTTGACATACAGTTAGCTTGAGCTGCTCTTGAAGGTATACTGCGCAAAGTCCGTGATCCCAGACCAGGAGGTTGTAAGGCTCTACAGGCTCTTTGGAGAATCTATTCGAACTCTGCCGACTAAGGCAGTGGTCGGACGACTGCCTAGCAGTCGTCGGAGGTCACTGCAGGCGCGGGTTCGTTTCGCACCTGGTTCTGTACGGCAAAGAGTGAAAGCTGCAGGGACCTCACCACCATCAAGGATATGCACGCATCACTTAAGGGGGTTCCGGACATGAAACACCTTACCGTGCTCGGCTGCCCGACAAGAGGACTCCGGAGTCATTGGAGCGGACGGGATGGATGCCCAGGCTTGTTCCGTTCCAGTTCCGCACACTTCGAAGACGTGAGCGAACCACACGTTCGCGAGCCATCATGTCGTTGCCAGCACAAAGCATGATAAGATAGTTCGACCATGTCTTTATTCTGCGCACTTGTGCAGGCTGCAGTCATCGACTGCGACGTCGACTGCAACGGCGCATCCCAGCTTGGAATGGCCGCAGTCGCATGATTCCGGCTGAGACCTGCATGGAAGTATTGAAACTCTGACCGACAAGTCCTGGCCAGGCTTGGATCATTCTGACGCTCCTGTGCCTCCACCTCTCCTGACACGACATGCAGGCTTGAGCTGGCTGTAGCGCAGGCTCCCACTTTATCTCGCCACGTGTTTCACGTTCTCACAGTGTCACCGGCACGTAGTCGGCATCAAGAACATGCCCTCCTGAGGACGTGCATGTTCACAGCATGAGCGCATGCGAACGCGCTGAACAAAGCTATAGCACCGTGCCGATGCCGCATTTGCTGTGCATGCAGACCTCTTGTGAGCGCCGAGTGCAACGACATTGGCCGTCTCCTTGCAGCTGAAGAGGCTGATGTAAGCGTAAGTGGAGCAAGTCACTAGCAAGCCGGAGCAAAGTTCCTTGGCCTATGGCAAGCCGAGTCGCCGACTCAGAGGAGCTGAGGCTGCAAGGCCTGATAAGGCTTGGAAAGCTGCTACTTTCGCTGTGATACTTGCCTGAGGCGTGGGCAATCCTGGTGGTTTTCCTGACGGAGCAGGCCGTCACAGAGAAAAATTACTCCGGTCGTGAAGCAACACACGCAAAGTCGGAAAAGCAATATTGTCAACCAGGAAACGTACGGTCATGTTGGTGCAAGATCATCTTGAAGCGGCGCGCGACGGCACACGTAACGTACTGAACTTTTGAGCTTCTCGTCCCGGCAGACTGGCAGCCGTGAACTTCCAAACTGTGTCCTGTGGAGTTTGTGGCCATGCGGAAGTTCCGGCACAGCTTAGAGAGAAGCAGTAGTAGCAGGAGCTGTGTTGTCGTTGTCGGGACGAGTAGGAGTTTAGTACTTCGTCATCCTCCCGGCTCTCGTCGCCGTCACTGCTCCTCCTACACGAGTGCTGCTACCTTGTCAGAAGCACTCGAACTTCAGGCATACTTCCATTAACACTCTAGCGACATCTGCAACTGCTCCTGTCCTTAACCCTTTGCGCCGAACCAGAACCACAGGGTTTAGATCAACAAGGCTTATATGAAAGGAACCCAAAATCTCATTTTTGTATGTGGTTGGCTTTATTTGTGTTTAAAAGTGTTTTTTTGTATTTAAAAGTATTGTTTTGTATTTAAAAGTTTTTTAAATAGGTTTTTTTGTGTTTTACAGTTGTTAAAATTCTTTTATTTTATTTTTGGTGTAAAAAATACATGTTTGTGAATTTTGTTTCTGAGTGAGTCAATTGGCTTCCTGTTGTTCTACCTGGTTTCCTGCTGCTGTATGTCTACAAAATTGTTGTTTATTTGTTGTTGAAGTTAATAATTTTTAAAATTTAATCTTTTTAAATAGTTTTGGGTTGTGATTGAACAAAGAAGGGAGGCCGTAGTGACATGTTGACTTGCCTTGAGATCTTGCCCTTACCCACACGGATCGACTGCCCATCTCGGTTCGTGGACACCGTTGGCCGGGTGTCAGGTGCTGAGTCGATGGTACCTGGACCGCCTTGGGGCCAACGTGCCAGGGCAGTGGCATATGACACCCGGGCACATGGGCTAAAGTGCCGGGTGGGGTGGTCCAGTGGTTGCGGCTTGATTTGTTCTCCCAACCAGGAGGGGAGGCCATCCATGCTTGTCACGTTAGTTAGGGAGCCTTGCGACTTGGATCGACAGAGGCAGAGTGCCACCTTACCCACACGGATCGACTGCCCATCTCGGTTCGTGGACACCGTTGGCCGGGTGTCAGGTGTTGTCGATGGTACCTGGACCGCCTTGGGGCCAACGTGCCAGGGCAGTGGCATATGACACCCGGGCACATGGGCTAAAGTGCCGGGTGGGGTGGTCCAGTGGTTGTGGCTTTTTTATTTTTCTCCCAACCAGGAGGGGAGGCCATCCATGCTTGTCACGTTAGTTAGGGAGCCTTGCGACTTGGATCGACAGAGGCAGAGTGCCAGTCGAGCCTCTCGAGGTTGCCTTACTTAAGTCCCTGCCCCATCGGGGTTGCTCCCCACACCGTTGGCCAGGTCTAAGTGTTCGGTTTGAATCCAAGCCTAGTGAACGCCTTCTCTTCCATTTCCTTCTCTCCCATCGGTCTTCATCGGCTTCCAGCCCATCGAGAAGTGGATGCCAACTGCTGGGATCTCAGCATCAGCTTGCTTCAGCTACTTCCATTATTATGGTACAGTCCTGGCACCGAGGCTCATGACGAGGATCCTGAGGACATGCTGCCATCGCAGAGGACAAGCTGCCTTGCATAGTCAGTGAGCGTGTCATGTATCGCAACTTGCCGCTGCAGCAGTTGTGCTCGCTGTTGCCCTGCGTAATCTACTATAGTCGTGTTACAGCTGCTCTGTCTCTAGTCTAAGTCGTAGTAGGCCCCCCTGCAAGCCGGCAGATGTCGTCGATGTCGTGGAGTGACAGTGAGTCTGTGGGCTCGGACTGGGTTCTGGTTGACGATGAGGGTGCAAGTACTGCGGGCTCGGTCGCGGACAGTGCTGACGACGATGATTATGTGATTCCGTTCGACGAGATGCTAGAGGAGTCCTTTTCGACATTGTGGATGTTTCTGGATTCTAAAGAGCGTGGGCAAGTCTTTCGAGCAGCCTTCCATATCAATGAACAGATCATGTTCGTACTGTTTCCGAGACTTTTGCGGGATTTTAGGCAAGGCAGAGTGCCAGGAATTTTATATTTCAATGTGACAGACGAATGGCTGTCGTCACTGAATCAATGATTTGTCGTGTTTGTACAGCCTCCGCGACAGTATCACGGATCTTGGGGAAGGCAGAGTGCCGGGTTTGCGTGTGTTTAGGGGATTTTGAATTCGACGATCTAGCCAGCAGAGCTAGACTGTCCGATTTGAGACCTCAGCGGTAGTGTGCGCAACTTGGATTCAAAACGGTTACCCAGCATGACATGCTGACTACACAGTGCCGGGTGGCAGTGATGTCCTCAGGACCCTGCTGTCTCCGAGGCTGGCTGCCTGCCTGCATAGTCTGTCAGTGAGTTGACTTGCACCATACATGATCGACATCTGCCGGCCAGAGAATCAAGCGATTCATGCATACTGATGTAACAGTAGTAACAAAATGTTACATATCATTGATTAATGTACTATATAGTGATGCATTAGTCACTGTTAATGTTTTAATCGTTGGACAATTGTGTGCTCGATGAAAGCAGTGATGCCGACGACCTGCTCTGTCTCTAGTCTAAGTCGTAGTAGGCCCCCCTGCAAGCCGGCAGATGTCGTCGATGTCGTGCAGTGACAGTGAGTCTCTGGACTCGGACTGGATTCTGGTTGCCGATGAGCGTGCAAGCACTGTGGCCTCGATCATGGACAGTGACTACGATGATTATGTGATTTATTTCGACGCGCTGCTAGAGGAGTCCTTTTCGACATTGTGGTTCTTTCTGAATTCTGAAGAGCGTGGGCATGTCTTGCAAGTAGACTGGCATATCAATGATATGATCCTGCACGTACTCTTTCCGAGATTTATGCAGGATTACAGTGAAGGCAGAGTGCCAGGAATTTTATATTACAATGACGTGCGAGACGAAGCTCTGTCGTCAATGATGAATCAGTGATTCATCGTGTTTGTACAGCCTCCGAGACCGCATTACGGATGTTGGGGAAGGCAGAGTGCCGGGTTTGCGTGTGCTTAGAGGATTTTGAATTCGACGATCTAGCCAGCAGAGCTAGACTGTCCGATTGGAGACCTCAGCGGTAGTGTGCGCAACTTGGATTCCAAAAGGTTACCCAGCATGACATGCTGACTACACAGTGCCGGGTGGCAGTGACGTCCTCAGGACCCTGCTGTCTCCGAGGCTGGCTGCCTGCCTGCCTGCCTGCATAGTCTGTCAGTGAGTTGCCTTGCACCATACATGATCGACATCTGCCGGCCAGATAATCAAGTGATTCATTCATACTGATGTAACAGTAGTAACACAATGTTACATATCATTGGTTAATGTACTGTATAGTGATGCATTAGTCACTGTTAATGTTTTAATCGTTGGACAATTGGGTGCTCGATGAAAGCAGTGATGCCGACGACCGTTTCAAGGTGCTCAGGGAGTTCCGAGGCAGAGTGCCAGACTTCTGCTGCTGACCATCAGAATCAGGCCAATCACATTGACCTTGGCAGTGATTACTGGAACGAAGCCGTGCAACAACTTCGGTGGAATTGTTTACACTGTGGCAGATCAGCTGCCGACTATACCACCGGGCTCCGAAAGATCCAAAGGGCTGCACAATTGGATCAACGAATCAAATTGGCAGTTGAGGCCATCTCAGATTTCGGAGATATGGATATGAAGTTGTACAAAGCATGGACCGGCCAGACAGATGTGCTGCCTGGGTCGATCCCGCCACCTCGGCCATGCCAGCATGATGTCGAGACGTGGCCCATGGATGATGTTTTGATTTACGACCATCCCCAGTGGCAACTGTTTGTTGGCAGTATTGGTTGCCCGATCCGATATGACCAGCTCCGGGTCAAGCCTGACATTGTCATCTCTATGAATGCAGATGACAGACCTCGGAATTTTGAGCCATGGGACTGGTATCAGTATTTGGCGAATTGTGGACCGTTTGGCACTGCACATCTTCGGTATGGTGGCTGGGATCAAACACATGCCAATGACTTTGATGCTGAACAAAGAAGTCATGAGTTCAAGACCATTTGGCGCCGCCTCATTTCAGATTTCAGAAAGATTATGATGTGCTGGCAGCGCTCAGCAGAGGAGTTCAGCCAGAGTCAAAGGCAGAGTGCCATCAAGGGCAAAATGATGGGCAAGGCCAATGGCGGCAGGGGCAAGGGCAAGACAATCAGCAAGGGCTACAGCGGCCCCTGTCAGGTTTCCAATCACATGCAAAGCCAGAAGGCATCGACGAAGGGCTCATTTGGCTATGGCTGCTCCTATGACAAGGGCTTCAGCAAGGGAAGTGACATGGGCAGCCTGTTCGGAAGAGCCGCTGAAGGAAGGCAGAGTGCCGATGGAAGGCAGAGTGCCTTGAAGGTGGCCGATGAGACATTCCCTGGTGAGCTCGGTAATGCTCTTGCTTTGTTGGAGGCGATGAAGCTTCAGGGAGGTGGTCGGAAGCGTGGAGGCAAG